AACTCGTAAATTATGTAGTAGGATTGAAATAGTAGAGTTAATCAATCACAAACAAGTTGACATCTTATGGGAAATTTTATTCACATGAATAAGTAGCACATGTTACAAATATACATACCAACATAAAGCTAAAATAAACTCACAGTTTTTCCATTTGTTAAGTGGACATGAACTTCTTCACCACTGATTTTAAAAACTTCTCCATCAATCCATGCAAGTTCTGTATCTTCAACCCATACATGAGAACTTACAATAATGTTAACTGGAGCAGCCTGCACATATACAAAAGTATTAGCTGTGCAAAGAAAGAAACAAAGTTTACAAACACAAACAGTCACCGTTTGAAACAAGGTACCCTCATAAACAAAGAAATATTTCTTAGATTCTGCCTGAATTTCATAACAATGGCATTAAATTCTACCAAGCATTATTTTGCTGCATGCCATATATGTTCAGCATCCAAGAGAACCTATAAATTTTCAGCCAATGGCACTCACCAAACTCACCAGCATAGTAAAATTGCCTCACTATGACATCCTCAACCTCCTTTTCAACTGCCAACTTAAGTCTAATTATGATACTAATAACTACCACCAAATTCTTACCATCCAAAACCCAAGACTAAAAGTTATTCAATGTCGATGACACTGGCATGGATGATACTGCAGACTAAATTTCTCCACTATTTTATTAATTGTTAGACATCGAGTGAGAGCAAATAATTTTTAGTACGAAAAAGACTTCTATCTTATTATCCTAAATAAATATAAACTAAGCAGAGCATTGAAAAAACAGTCATCCCAAGTCATGCTTGTAATCGATGGGTGCTTAGAACTTAACTAACCTACAGCCGACATCAAATCCGCTGGTAAATATATAAACAAAATGTTATAGCACCGATCAAATGTTGCTCTACATCTGAACTGCATTTCGATTTTTTAGTCAAAGTAATGTGAACATTCAAATTCTCTAATCTTAAAAACTTATATATTTGAATATTTTTAATCTATAATTCAAAAAGCATTGATGATTTTCCAATATAACATGAAAAACAAAAAATGCCATAACATGTAATACATCAAGGAATTTCCTATCTAATATTAAGATTGTCAAAGCTATTAAATATATAATAAATAAAAATGAAACAAAATATAATATCTAAAAAAAAAAGTAAAGTACGGATCAAATAACAAGATGCGACGTTCAACTGATTCAACTCGGCCAAAAAAATAGAAAAACAGCCGAAGCAATCAAGTACCATGGCGATTATATGCAGCGATCTTCCTTCTATCAACTCATCCGAGACACGACTGAGTCGAGGGAAGGTGGACTCAGCGAGTCAGATCGGACCAAAAAAAATGAACTGGTAGCTCAAGAGTTTTAACGAAGAATACTTTGGATTTTCGAAGAAACCGAAAAACAGAAAGATGCGGTTGAATTCACAAGAAGACGATAACAAGAAGAAAACAAAGGTTTTTTTCTCACGAATTTTGCTCTCTTTTCCAAATTTTTTTTCCTTTTTTTCCTCCGAAACCAAAATGAAAAAAATGGAAGCAAATGGAAATGGCGAGGTGGTTTATATAGAACAGCAAAAAGTTTAGAAGGTTTTTTTTCTTTTCTTTTCTTTAAAATTCTTTTATTTTTGTTACTGGTCAGCTGGGGTCCAAAGGCCGGGGTTGGCGACGAAGGTCTAGTTGGACATTCGTGGTCGCCACAAACAGTTGGGATTTTCGGTCTCTAAAACCGACAGTAGTGAAACTTTTTAGACTAAACTATGGCTTTTTGGGGTTTTGGTCGGTGTTTAAGTCTTATATTTGTCGCTATTTACGGTATTTGCCATAAGTTAAGTCCAACTAAGCAATCAAAGGTGGCTAGTCATTTTCAAAAAAAAAAAAAGAGCTTTGATTAAGCAAAAATCATTATCGAATTTATCTCTAATATTTTGTTTGTCAATGCTATTGATTTTATATTTGAAGTTTACTTTTTCCCTTTTCCTCCCATTTTTTCCTTTTAATGCTAATTACTAATATTTCAAAAAAAGGGTAAATTTGTAATTTTAAATAAAAACAAAATGAAAACGTATTTTTATAATTTTGTAATTTTGGGACATTACGCTATGAAACCCGGCCACCATTTCCTGGCGCGTAAATATTTTGGCTATTTTTTCGGTTGAGAGAAGATTTCTTGTGTTAAGCACTGAGAATATTTTACAGTACGCATAGATTACCAAAATCTACAACGTCCGCATGATCTCATTACATTACGTGAAAGGGCTGAAGCTTCTGGTGGGTCTGGCAGAAAAACAATGAAAATTGGACACGTAATGAGAGCAATGTGGATTGAATCGGAGCTAATTAAATAATTCAGATGTGAAGAGACCGCAGGCGACAGAGAATATAAGAGAGGCTCCGCGCATGTTGGGGCAAGTGGGTAATAACAGAACAAACCATGTCGAGATTACGAAAACATGAAGAACACGACAAAGGACATCGTTAAAATGACAAAATCCTCCTTTTATTTATAAACTGCTTTTTCTTTGTTTTCGCCGTGCCTGTAATCATTCCTGTTACTAAGCCACGTAAAAGTGAAAAACTGTTAATGTGGCAGTAAAAAAATAAATAATGTGCTCTTTTTTTTTTTTGAGAAATACATGTTGATGTTTAGAAATAGTCACGTGAGTGATTTAAATTTATTATTATCATATTTATAATTTTAAAGCAACTTTGCCATCACATTATAAATTTTAGAACAATTAAAGAATGCTTAGTAAAAATTTTTTAAAAATTTTTTACAATTCAAAAAATAATTTTGACAATGATATGATAGGAAAAAATAACTATAAAACTAAAATCTAAATTTTTCTCTTCATATTATTTATTCTTTATTATAATATTTATATTAAATATATAATGTTATTTTATTGTTTCTATAATTTTATCATTATATTTTCGACTGAATATAGTAATACCACATTGTACTTTTCAATGGATCTTAACCTTATTTTCCTTGTTATGTCATTTCCAATATTTTTTTAATTATAAAATAGTTTCTAAGAAATATTTTATAAAATATTTTCAATTTTTTATTTTTATACTAAAACTTCTCAAAATTTAAAAGTGTGCTAATAAATTTATTCTAAAATTAAAAATATAATAATAAATTTAGATAACTCACATAAATAGAGCAATATTTGTTGTTAATTTCAATAAGTACTACAAAGAAAAGTTTCATAAATTCAATAAATTTATCCAAAACACAAATGCATGTGGATATGCAGTATAAATGCAAAACGTGTAAATTTATCCATAAGCATGTGCTATCATATATTCATAAATTTAATTAATGCTCTAAATATTTTTAACATTCACCTAAAAAAATTGAAGCTTAAACATGATATTTAATCCAAATATTTCACCTACTCTTTTTAAGAAAGTAGATTTCATTAATATTGAATTTAAATTTTGAATACTTGCTATTATTTTTTGCCAATTTTCTTAGACTTTAACCTCTTTTGCAAAAAACTAAAAACCTAGATTTATAAATTTATTGTTGGTAAGCCAATGGGTTTTCATTTCTTTTAAATATTGATTATTTTTCGTTTGTGTTCAATGATAGAAAAAAAAAAGTAGATGAAGATGGGATTCAATTATAAGACCATGAGAAATATAATAGTAGTGTAATAAAAACTTCAAAGATGACGATCAAGCGTATAGAGGGAAGAGAATGTTGGGTGATCGAAAATATTAATCATTTTAAAGCATACATGAATGCATTGACCATTGTATTTAGAATTGATAATTCAATATATTTTTTGTGAGTTTTGATTTGACTCAATTTTTAGCATTGATTTTTTTTTAAATTATGTTTTGGGTCGAGTTAAATAAAGTAATAATAAAAAAATTATGATCGAGTTTTAGGTAAATATGATTAGATCCAATTCAATATATATAAATTTTTAATTTATTATTATTTATTTAATTTTATATTTATATTAAAAATAATATTTTATTAATTTTGAATCAAATCGAATATAATTTATATAATATCAAATCGAATTTAATATATAAAAAAATTTTTTAAGTTAAATTGAATTCGAAAAAAACATAAACTCGTATTGACTCAATCTAATCCACTCCTATCCTTAATTGTACTTTCACTCCAACTATCCATATTTATATTAACAACTTAGCTGAATAGGCTTACACAACTATTTTTAATAAATGTATTCAATAAATTTAACTTTTAAATTTTTACATTTGTAATTTTATATTTTTATTCTCGTATCGTGTTTTCATAAAAATTAATATTTATATTATTTATATATATATATTTAATATATATACATATGAACATATATCTATATTATAATAATAATATTGTTATTATTATTATTATTATTATTAAACAATACCACCAAAGATATAGATAGGTAAAAATAAAAAAAAAAGAAATGAGGATTGGATGAAACAAAGGATATTATAAATAATTAGGTATTGGAACATATATGGTTATAGGTAGAAGAAACAACTAAATGCAGTTAATAAATATTTTTAGAAAATTCAAATTCTAACGTCTTAGAATCAATAACCATTTGAAGAAGAGTAAAGAAACTTTCTTCTTTCGAATAAAAAAGAGTAAAGTCAAGAAGCTTAAATACAACAACTTCAAAAAGCAAATCTTACATTAACTTAAAAGTCAAGTCACCTTAATTTTTATAACCTAAAAAATAAATACAACATTTCAAGTTTAAAAAAAAAAAAGCATTGATTAAGATTAATTCGTCTGGAATGTGGAGACAAAAGAATACCAAAAAAAAAAAAAAAAAACCATAAAGACATGGTATTATTTTTGTACCAGCATTTGTTTTTGTCCACACAAAAATATCAGACGTTAAGAACAAGATCAAATTGAAGTTGTTAATAAATTAAAATTTTGATTTTGATTCGTACAAATATTTTAATCTATAGTTTTTGATAAATTTAAGTTTTAAATCTGTAATTTTTTTTCTTTAATTATAAAAAAAAAAAATCGATGGTTTAAAGCTTAAGCCTTTGATATCGAAAACTAGGGAGTCCAGGCCTCTAGGGCGCATTTTCTGTCACTGCATAAAGGCGACAAACAAAAGTCCTCACACAACCACCACCCACCGCCTCCATCGTCAAACATGGCTTCTTCTTGCTCACTGTTCCACTCATCTCTCGCCTCCAAATCTAAGTTACCATTGCTTCATCATCAAAACCACCCCAAATTCAATCGGCCTACCCCTACTGTTATCTCATGCACTTCCTCTTCCACATTCGATCCTTCCGCGGCCACCAGTTCCTCTAACAACAACTCCCCTTCTCCCCAAAAGAACCGACGCCTTGCCGATGAGAACATCCGCGATGAGGCTCGCCGCCATCGTTCCACCGCCAAGAACACCTTCTCCGCCAAGTACGTTCCCTTCAACGCCGGACGCGACTCCATTGAGTCGTACTCGCTCGACGAGATCGTTTACCGGAGCCGTTCCGGCGGATTGCTCGACGTTCAACACGACATGGAGGCTTTGAAGAAGTTCGACGGCGCGTATTGGAGGGAGTTATTCGATTCGCGAGTGGGGAAAACCACGTGGCCGTACGGGTCAGGAGTTTGGTCCAAAAAGGAATGGGTTTTACCCGAGATTGACCCGGACGACATCGTTTCGGCTTTCGAAGGGAACTCCAACCTGTTTTGGGCCGAACGGTTTGGGAAACAGTTTTTAGGGATGAACGATTTGTGGGTTAAACACTGTGGAATCAGCCACACTGGCAGTTTCAAGGATCTGGGAATGACCGTTTTGGTCAGTCAAGTTAACCGTCTTCGCAAACTGAAACGACCCGTTGTTGGAGTTGGCTGCGCTTCCACTGGTGACACGTCGGCTGCCTTATCCGCTTATTGCGCTGCCGCTGGGATTCCTTCCATCGTCTTTTTACCGGCGAACAAAATCTCCATTGCTCAATTAGTTCAACCGATTGCAAACGGCGCGTTCGTTTTGAGTATCGATACCGATTTCGACGGTTGCATGAAGTTAATCCGGGAAGTTACCGCCGAGTTACCTATTTACCTTGCCAATTCATTGAACAGTTTAAGACTCGAAGGGCAAAAGACGGCTGCCATTGAGATTTTACAGCAGTTTGATTGGGAAGTTCCAGATTGGGTCATTGTTCCGGGTGGTAATTTGGGGAATATTTATGCTTTTTACAAAGGTTTTAAAATGTGCCAAGAACTAGGGCTTGTTGATAGGATACCTAGATTGGTTTGTGCCCAAGCAGCCAATGCTAATCCACTTTATTTGCATTATAAATCAGGGTGGAATGAGTTCAAGGCAGTTAAGGCAAATACTACATTTGCCTCAGCTATTCAAATTGGTGACCCTGTTTCTATAGATAGAGCTGTGTATGCTTTGAAAAATTCAAATGGGATTGTTGAGGAAGCGACTGAGGAGGAGTTAATGGATGCCATGGCGCAGGCGGATTCTACGGGGATGTTTATTTGCCCTCATACTGGAGTTGCATTAACTGCTTTGATTAAGCTTAGGAATATTGGGGTTATTGGAGCTGGGGACAGGACTGTTGTGGTTAGTACAGCTCATGGATTGAAGTTTACACATTCTAAGGTTGATTATCACTCGAAGAAGATTCCGGATATGGCTTGCGGCTTTGCTAATCCGCCCGTGCAAGTGAAGGCGGATTTTGGTTTTGTTATGGATGTGCTGATGAAGTATTTGGGAGATAAAGCTCCAAAGCACTAGGTGGAGCATTTTGTAAGTTTAGCAGTTTGTACTCCTTGAGATCTATGCTTGGTTTTAATTTTGGTGTTCCCTTGCTTTTTTTTTTTTTCGCTTTTTGTTATATAAATTTTGGTCTAGCTTGTGCCTTACTCAGTGTAGAAATCATCCGTTAGCTCCGTAAATTTTTTGAGTCTGAAGCTTAATGGTTTTCTATTTAGATCAGGATTTGTTACGATTGCCTCAATAACTTGTTCAATAAAAGGTTTATGTATGTGGCTTCGGGCGATCTGACATGCGAGCTAGATAGATGATTGTGCCTTGAGAATATGCTTACCTTTACTCTGCATTCACCCGGCTAAGTTTGTATCTATGTGGAGTTATGGGCTGTAAGTGTTTCTTCTTTATATACGTATCATTCAAGGAAACTGCTCAACTAATTTATTTCTTAAGTTTGGAATTTGTTGTGTTTGTGGGCTCCTTGCCATGAAATTGTTTATGATGTACTGTTGTTTTTTCGACATGTGGAAAATGAAAATTACAATTCATTAATATTTTAAAGAAACTGCTTATCTGATTCATGTGTAAAGTGTGGAATTAGTTGTGTTCATGGCTCCTGGTCATTTACTGTCGTTTTTCCAATGAAAGAGATGTGAAAATGACCATTCATTTTCATATTTCATCCTAAGATTCTTTATGTTCTTAACTTTCTAATCCTATAATGGTTATCCTAGCAGAATAGAGACATATCATTTGGTGGTCTAGTGTGTTACTTGCGTGCAAGAGAACTCCAATGGAGAGATACTTAGATATAAATATCCATGGAAGTTATACCAAACAATATGCTTTTGTGAAATATGGACTTAGTTATTTGTATTCTAACCGTTTCTAAGCTTCAAAGAATGATATAAATAAAGGCCAAATATATGAAATAGCCTGCTGCAATAGAAAGACCAGTATCCTGTTAGTTAAAGTGTATTTTGATAGGCAATGCTGCTGGGTGATAATATGCCTCATTAATAGATATGGGTCACATGGGGACTCCGTGATCTGGAGAGTTATCATGGTGATGACATTATTGAGAAGGATATCCTTATAACTGTTAGAAATTTTCTCAATTCATTTCATGTTGGTTTATTTTCTGTGAGCCACTGGTGAATCAAAGGTGTTTTGTGTTGTTATTTCAATTTCAAAGATACTCCATCTGATTAACGATTACATCTTTTTTATATTATCATAGCCGTGACGACGAGAGAATGAGCAAAGTATAGTCATACTGGGCAGTGGTCATTCTGTTTTCAGCTGCTCCTCTATTGACTTGTATGGTTGAATATTTGAAGTGAAATGAGCTTCGAAACTGCCGATTGGTTCCTCAGGTATTTATGATTTACCGAACAAAGAAGAGAAGCAGATCATATTCCCATGGGAATCCATTTAAGAGATCCCCATGTCAAATTCTCCCGTCTTCTGCTGCCTAAAGAGAAACAACCATGAATAATTAAACTAATAGCTGAAAGCTTGAATATTTTTAAAAAAATTTAACATATTTCAAGGGATTCTCCTGTCTTTGGAACTGGGGTGGGTTGGCATTGCCCCCAATCGTCCTTTCATCTCGCCTCTGTTTGTTAAGAAAAGGTTAGGGGAAAGATGATTTAGCTCAGGCTGTCATTCGACTAATGCAACTTTCCTATCGTAAGCTGTAAGAGATGGCTTCCAAGAGATTTGCTCCTTCTGGAGGGTGGAGGCTTTTTAATTTTCTTTTGCGAATTTAACAGAATCATAGAAAAGCGAAAGAAAATTATAACTGAATCGGAAGAACCATGTTTTAAAGACATCAAGACTTCAGTTAATTACGAGTGTGCGAGAATTTTATTTCATTTTTATGAAAAACAAGAAAAATAAACAGAACAAAATCTAAAGCCGTGTATCATATTCATTGGATCAGTGACAATTTAACATGTGGCACCATCTTGCAATCAAATTAATCCTTAATGTTTTTTAATCTCAACAAGCCATGAACACTCAAGAACAATGATACAGTGATATACTCTTGTCATCTGACACACTAGCAAGACGATCCCCTTGACCAGGTCGAAATGCCACTGCCCAGACCTGGTCTGTGTGATTGCTCATTGTCTGTATAGCTGCTCTCATCTTAAAATCCCATAGTCTTACAGTTTTGTCACTTGAGCCTGTTGCAAGAGCCTCTCCATCAGGGCTTACATCCACGCTCAACACCCAGCTAGCATGACCTGACATGGCCCCAATTATAGCTTTCCCCTCAGCATCATAGATATGCACATGACCATCATCTGAGGCTGAGTATAGCGTCCATGAATCAGGTTCAGGAGCAAACACAAGAGACCTAACAGGCATGTAATGGCCTTCAAGGTGATGTAGAAATTTGGCACGAGCTACATCAAAAATGGAAATTGTGCCGTCCATTGAGCCACAAGCAAGTCGTCTTCCATCAGGACTCCATGCTACAGAAAGGACAAACTTCTTGCTGCTGCTTTTATCAGAGGGCTTGGGTCCTTCAGGACGAGGAATTGATAAAGTTGCAACCAACCTCCATGTTGCAGTGTCCCACAGCTTGATTGATGCACTACCCCCACCAGCAACCGCAAGTGTTGTACCCTAATTTTGAGAGCTAATGTTAGAAAGCCACTCAAAACAAATTCGAAAAGAGAACTTAAACTCTTAAAGACATTCACCATAGATCTTAATCATAAGTCATCATCAGGAATATTGTTCATCATAAGTAGTAAGCTTGATATTCAAAATAAGATTATGACTACAACCGGAAAAGATATTAGTTGATTATCATAGAAACCCCAGTAGATTCTTTAAAAGAAGACTTAAAGACAGATATTTTACAATGATACAAGTAGCAAAGAGGATCTCCTACTTCAACGCAAAACACACGTCTTTAGAGAAATTTGTTAACGTTAGATCTTTAAGAATAGTGACATAACTTGTCGGTGAGATCTTACTTTGCCAAGCTTAGCTTCATTTAAATTATTGTTTCATGATAATTACTTGAATCACAATATCACTTATTACAAAGGAATAGGAAAAAAACAGGAATACTCCATTTTGCCTAAGATGTTCAATTAGGCCAACATGGTAATTCTAATTTAAATATTCAAACAATTCATGTGATTTTTTTTTCCATTTGAATAACACTAAATGGTATCTTTATAAGTTGCCTTCAAATTTAAAAGATTCAAAAAAATTCCTAAATTGATCACTGTCTCATAGCTATAATAAATTCTCCGAAAGTTGTACTAGAAAAGATTCAAATAAATTATTACCTTGGGATCGAATTGCATTTGCCAGACCTCAGAGGGAGGAGCTTCGAGAGTGGCGATAGTAAAGTTGGTGTCAACGTCAAACACGCGAACCAAACTGTCCAGTGAGGCGGAAGCGGCGATCACGCCGGAAGGATGGGCGGCCACGCAGACGACGCCGAGGCAGTGGCCGGTGTTGGTGCGGACGAGTTCGAGCTCATCGGGTTTCCACAGCTTGACGGTTTCGTCGAGGGAACCGGTTAACAGGAGTGCCGGACGGCTGTCGGTGGCGGGAACCCACGTGGCAGTCCAAACCGACTCGTCGTGGGCGTTTTCTACGGATTTCAAGCCCGCCAGTTTCATAGATTTTGCCATCACAAGAACCCTAGCTAGTTTTGATTTTACAAGTAGAGCGCGAAGTCAGGGTTTTTCGGAGTGTTAACTCTGAGGTTTTTAGAGGGGGAAGTGTTGTTGACGTGGCCTTATTGACTCAGATATTGCAGGTCAAGCCCGGCCTTATTGACTTTGGGCCATACATACAAATCCATAACAGACCAGCTTATTATATTTTCTATCAAGTAAATTGTAATCCGAAAATAATATAAAAGTTACAAATGTTAAGATTTAAATAATAAATTTGTTAAATATCATTTTTTAAGGATAATTATATAAATAATTTAAACTAACCCTCAGGTTCCCATTTATATATTTGATAGAAAAAAATTGTGAAAAAAAGTTTCCAGTATTCAATGGCAGTGGAGTTTAATTAGCAGAAAAAGAAAAATATGTATTAATGTACACTTGAATAGTTGGTGAAATGAAGTTGATAATACTGGCATGAATTGTGGGCAATATGGGTGATTAACTGATTATTCATTATTTATGAAGTTATGAACTATAAAATCTTTTTTTATTATTATTTTGAGCCAAATCATATAAAATATTAAAAAGAGGCGAGGGTTGGAGGGGGAGGGGCCAACAGAGGGGGAAGAACTGATTTGGTGAGACAGTCTATCAGTTTTCAAATTTTCAATCATGATATGGCCCATGGCATTGGCTGGATTGAAGAAAAGGAAAAAAATAATAGATTATTAACAAATGGCAAGTTTAAAGCAATTTGTTCACTTTTTTCGCTTGGCCTCATCGTTTGATTTGAAGCAATGAATATGAATGGGACCAAGAAAGAGATTTTTTTTTTTTGAATTGTTGCTTTTGATCGGGGTTTATTTACTTAAGCACAACTTTAACAGCTGCTGCTGCTGGTGCCTATGATCCTTTGTCTATTGTCACGCTGAATTCAAGTCCCCGCTCTAAAGAATGTCTTTTTCTGGCCGACAATTGCAGGCATTCAAAACATGAAAGAAAGATTTTAAATTGCAAACTCACACCATTTTTAACTACTACAAGTGAAAAACAAGGCTCCAATAGATGAATAAAAAACACCATTGGAGCCCCATTGTTACTACACAGCAAATTCCTGAACATGATTCTAGTATGACACCAAAACAGAGAGAAATTCAAACTTGTAATAATCAATCTCCTCCAGCTTAGGCTCCAACTGGTGAACAAAAAAACACAGTCAGAGCCAATTGTGCCATGCATCCATGATTCAAATCATCAGAACCTGAAAAAGAAACCCAAACTTACAAGGAGCTCCATGAAGGTGAACAAAAAATTTGACTCCCATGGAGCTCATTTTTCATTCCTATTTATGTAGTGTATTATCTCAGTCATAATATTCAGTCAACTTCAATTGATCGAACGTATACGGAGAAACCAAATCAACCAGGAAAATTTGGGAATGTTTGTTCTTCAACTTTGTTTGCTGGATCTCAATCTATATCCTTTGCTTCTCTTTCATGGAGTTTATTTTCTCTAATTTCCAGTCATCCCTGAGTCTGGCGATAAAGATCTCAGCTTTAGCGTTAACATCAGGACTGGGACAAAACACACGGACCCCTCCAACTCCAGCACCAAACCCAACGCCATCATCACCGTCCATCATGCTGACTGTCTCCACATCATCTTTGCTTGACGAAACATCAACTTCCTCCAAGTCAGGAGAGCTACATCGAGAACTAGGACTGCTTCGTATCTTAACAAAATCCCCACGAACCAAAAATTTAAAGTCTGGCATTTTAAATGGTGGAGGAGGTGGCGCTGGCGGCATCGGAATTAACGGTGACTGTCCACCGCTGTTCACGTTCTCGTCATAATAACTCGTATTTGCTTTTGTAGGCAATGGTGGCCTACCGCTGTTGGCCGTGGTTCGTCTCCTTGAAGGTTCAGGTGGCGGTGTTGGTGGTGCGGGTGCTGGTTTGGTTGGTGGCGGAATCTGACTCTTTTGCTTTGATGATTTTTTTGTAGGAAAAAAAGCAGGCAGCGCAGGTGCAGGTGGTGGCGTTGGTGGGATATGAGTGTTTTGCTTCGATGATCGTTTTGAAAGCGAAAATGTTGGTGGTGGTGGTGGCGGAGGAGGTGGTGCATGAATTGAATGGATTTTTTTGCTTTTACTGCCCTTTCTGAAGAGATTGTATTTTTGAAAGACGGAGGACGGTGGTGGAGGAGGTGGAGGAGGAGGAGGAGGAGGAGGTGATGGTGGTGGTATGTTAGTAGAATAATAAGGTGGTGGGTTATATGGAGAATGCAAACGATGATCTTGCTGACGATCATGGTGTTGATCCTTTACCTTCTGTTTCTTCTTTCTCTTCCTTAACGAAGCAAAAACCATCTTTATTTCCTTGGTTGCGTTACTTTTTCTACGTTCCAATTTCGCATACCTCTGCTCTGATCTATTTCCCACTTGAATTAGTGGTGAAGGTGGTGGCCTAGGAGGTGGGGGTGGTGTTACTGGCTGTGGAGACCTAACTTTATTGAATCCAACATGATCGTTTTGAGTCACCTCCTTCTCTTTCTGTCCAACAGCTTGATAAGTTCGTCTTGGTTTATGGCGTGCAGCTGGAGGTGGAGGCGGTGGTGGAGGTGGTGTTGAAGAAGGTGCTGGAGACTTTGAAGGAGTTGATGAAGCAGAAGAACGAAGCACAACGGTGTCAACAGGAATGACCTTGGCTTCGAATTCTTCAAACCCACTTCTCCAGCTCCCATCATGATAACTTGTTGAGGATCGATACTTGTTTAATTCAAAATCATCAAAAAACCGAAACCGATCTTCAGTATTAATATTTTCCCACAAAGAGTCCTGCCTCAGATCTGGATACGAGCTACTGCTTCTCTTCAACCTCCTAACGCTGGTTGCCGACGATGTCGTGTTGATCGGAGGATCATCAAAGATCTTCCTTTCTGGATAATCAAACCATTGCTGCGAGACAGGCTGATGGCTTGCCTTGTTATTGTTACTATCATTTCTAACACTGCTGCTGTTGATGTTGTTATCATCGTCGTCGTTTCTTCTAGCAAAAACACCGCAAAGAATAGCAAACAAGACAAGGAAAATGTTAAGGGAGTCCCAGCTTTTCCTGACACCGTTGGGTCTAAAAATCTGAGTGGTGATGGAGAGAAAAGGAGGGACTGCAAAGAACAGGAGAAGCAATGTGATGATGGGTAAGAGAATGATAAGAATTGGTGGGCTAAAAAGAGGAGATGGTGACCGACGGCGAGGCACGGAGTTGGTCAGCTGTGGCCATAACGGTGGAGGGTCTCCGGCCATTTCCATGGGAAGAGGGGTTTTGAATTTTCTCTGTGTTTAGTACTATACTTTTTTTTAGCTTTGTGAGGCGAAAGACTTTATAAACTATACAAGGAGGAAGCTTGACTTTAGAGGAGAGATATTTAGCAGATTAATTGGAAACTACATTAATTTTTTTGTATTTAATTTTATAATAATGTGTCCGATATAATTAAAGTATGCACTTATTCAGTGACAAGAAAGGCATATATAACCATTTATTGTGCTAGTAATTATTTAGCAGCATTTTTGCACCTATGCTATCCAAGTTATAAATTCACCTCCTTTTATATCCCTTTGAATTATCCCACTTTAAAATGTGGTTGCAATTTCCATGGGCAGTCAAAATAACTTAATGGAAGTAAATCTTTTATATATATATAAAGCTTACTCTTACATGGAATAAGAGAGAAAAAGTGGTTGGATATACGTGTTTTGGCTACGGTTTCAATAAACCTATTTTGCTAAGGATAAGATAATGATCATGTGATAAATAATATCAAAGTTAATTTTTAATTTATTCGATTTCACATTAAATATTTTAATAAAAATAAATAAAATAAATTAATTTAATCACTTAATAAAATATCGAATTAAAACATACTAGAAGATTATAATCATATCAAAACCCTCTAAAAGATAATAGATAAAATAATAATAATGTTATAAAATTAGATGAAAAATTATCACGTCAAACACTTCAAAAAGTAAAAAAAATATATTTTAATTTCATATCGGATATGAAACAAAAGATTACTAGATATATAAGTATTAACGTTACATATCTCAATAAATCAATTTTATAAAGAAAAATTAATAATCATGGGATAAGATAGTGTGAAAAAAGATTTATATGTATTCAGATTTAAATTCTTTGAGATGTTATAACTTAAAATTGATTGCATGAAATATGTCATGGTTTTTCTGTCTTTAAACACGAGAAACTCTACTTAATTATTGTAAAGATGATATTAATTTGAATGATTGGATTATTTCTAACCTAAACAGTTTTCGGTACACAAATACTTTCATGGCTAACAGACAGACAACAACATGAAAAGCATATATATGCAGATTCATACGCCAACTTAACTAATTGAAATCTCTTACACCATTTTCAATCAAGAACACGAATTTGTACAGGAATTGGTCGTTGCGATTATCTTTGTTTTTTGAGTTTGATTTGACTTCATGAGCTAGCTGGTGCACTGCTATTTGTCTGTTTGCATTTTCTTTTGCCATTAATCTGACTAATTTCATGACAACAGACAAACAGCAGATGACAAAATAGAAACCACTTACTTTAGTACATGTATCTACCTTGACAAAAAAAAAAAAAAACCAAAAACTGTATTTTTGTCCGAATTCTGATTTCTGGTTAGGAAAGAGCTGTGTCCTTCCAAGGTTTCCTGACTTCCTGCAGGGGATTTTACAAGTTAAGCAAAATCCCAAGAACAAAAAAATACAAAGTCCATCCCGTTCCCACGTGTTGCCCGATAAGCAAGAGAAACTCTTGCAGGAAGACATTTTTAGTTACTTTATGGAGCGTGGCTGCAATGATTGAAATCATACTCTTTTACAGCAAAACTCGAAACCAATGCCTTTAGTCGGCACTTTGTCGAAAGAAAATACACTTAAAACATAGCTCTTTTTCTCTTTTACCTTTCCCTGCTTACTGTATAATCAGTGGTTTTTAGTATATAATCATCAATCATTAGCTAGAGTAGCAGAGCCTTACACTTGGCTGAGGCTCCCTCCTCTCTCACATCCAACTTGGCTTTGCAAGGCATCAAAAAATGCACAAGGTTCATCACCATTAGCTTTTTGAACTCATCTTGGTGAAGATTTCAGAGTGTTATAAAATTAACGAAGAGACGAACAACTTTTAGTAGACAAATAGTGATGATTTTCCTCCCTTCTTCTATCTTTTCCACTACTGTCGGTTTCAGATTTTACTGGAGGAAAAAACTTTACCCATCACAAAGAAACATGGATAATATTTCTGAAAGCCCTCACTTAACCTCTCAATCTCGTGACAACCAAACTATTCTTTTATTTTCATGAAAAATAATAATAAAAAAAAGATCCCCAAGCGTGACAATTACTTGTCCCGGAAAATCATGGCTGTACCATCAAAATTCCTGAAAAAAAAATCATATTTTGAAGGGTAGCTCTTATCTTATTCCTGCTCCACAGTTTCCCATTTCTCCCTGATGCAGATTAGTAAGTATATCTTTATCATAGTTAATAAATAAATAATATAAAACCCATGGTTCAGTTCAGGCCACATGGATGGTTAGCTACTTTCTTGAAAAAGGTTTTTAAATTTGCTTTGTGATCAAGATGCTCCATCAAAACAACAATGGTGACTTAAAAGTTTTCAACGAGCTTTTGAATCATGCTGTGAAAATTACGTGCACGGTTAACGTGTGGGATTAAGCTTAATATCCTTTTTTGTGCGTTGGTTACAAGTTCAAGTAGGGACACGGACTTCATTTTCCTTGGAAAAAAAAAAATGAGCACAGAGACAGGTAGGGAAAGGACAGCCACTGACCACGAAGTGTCCTCCAAGGCTCTCCAACAGCTAAACAGCTAGCGTCCGCTAGACAGCCTGTTGTTTTCTCTCATGTGTGAGAATTTTTTTTCTCCTGTTCAATTATTACAAGTTTTGATGGATAATTATAATTAAATACTTAGATAAGGTTTGATTATTAATTAATATTTTAATTTAGTTGATCAGTACTGAACCATTTTCCTAATAAATTTGCTTTTTTATTATAAATATTAAAATTTAAAATTATTAAATTATATTTTATAAAAATAATATATAAATCATTTTAATTAAATTTTGAATTCAAATTACCATTTCATTACTCTATGAGTATGCGAATCATGACGGTTTCATAGTCATTTGGTGTGGTTTTTGAAAAGAATTAAAGTCATCCGACATCTTTATTTTTGGCTAATTTGATAATAATAGATGAGCTTTAAATTTTATTTATTTATTTTCATGGAAAAGAAAGTCGTGTGTTTGAGTATTGAATATTTCATGTTCAATTGATGACCCCATTTCAAAAAAGGTTTCAGAAAGCAGTTTCTTATAATTATTATTAATATGGATAAATGATTTTGTCCCCTACTGTTCATCATTTCATAAAAATAAAATGATTAGTAGGAGCCAAAAAAGAAGTCTAAAAGAAAAATAGATTTCGTTTGAGATTTAAAAGCTTCTGCTATAACCTAAACTTGTATACCTTCAACTCCAACCAATTTTAGCATAAGCTTTAAAAAAAAAAAAAAAGGAATTGCGGGCTTTCCAGTTTGGGTTGTGGACTGAAATGGGCTGAACTTAAGCCCATTTTAAGTTTATTTCATTGGGCCCATTTCACATTTGTCTTAGTAGCCCGTAACGCTGCGTTTTAGTTCCTAATTTGTCTCGAATATTCCGACGATGAAATCAAAGAACAAAAACCCTAACCCTCAGTGTTGTATCCTTAAAAACAGTTAAACCTCAAACTCTTCTCCGGCAATCCGTTCTCTCTCTTTTTTTTTTTCTTTTTGTTCTTAACAATAAATAAATAAGGAAAGGGAAAAAGATGGTCTGGTTTCAATGCGAGGATTGTGGCGAGAACTTGAAGAAACCCAAGTTATCAAACCATTTCAGAATTTGCTCTGCTTCCAAGGTCTCAACTTTCCATTCTAAATTTTCTCCTTTTTAACATTTTTTTGTTTGGTTAATCTTGAATTCTCGACTAACCTATCTTCTTTTTGGTTGATTCCGTAGCTATCGTGTATTGATTGTGGAGTGATTTTTGGGCAGCAAAGCGTTCAGGGTCATACACAGTGCATTACTGAGGCAGTAAGCTTCTTAATTCCTTAATCATATTGATTAGTTGCTGATAAATAATCTGAAAGACCTTTTCTTTTCATGTTTAGGAGAAATATGGTCCTAAGGGACTGGGAAAAGCACCAAATGGTTCAAATGCAAAACCCAGCAAACAATCAAAGGAAAAACCTGATATTGATATAAATGTGGGGTTATCTCAACGTCCTCCATGGTTTTGTAGGTAATGTTCATTTTTATCCGCACTTTGTTATTCCCTTTTTGTTTTTAGTATTTCTTGTTTGTAGACTGCTGGCATATTAGACACTTTTGAGGACATAAAGTAAAGTAATTTTCGTATGTCTTTATTGGCAGCTTGTCATGTTGTATCAGAAACATTTAACTTACTAAAACAAGTTTGATTCTTAATGAAAAGTTGTGATGGCTGTTAGTTGGGAATTCTGCATGACTTTTGCTCAATGGCAAAACGAGCTAACTAGCCGTGTTGCTTAAACCATACAAGTATTTTGTATTGCAGAGAGGTCCTTACACATAAAGTTTGGTTAATGTTTATTTTAGCTTTCTAGTTTTCCTTTGGTTTCATAAATGAATAGAGGAACCATTAGATCAACAAACTAAACCAAGTCTTAATGCAAAAAAGTATTATTTTCATTCATGAAGAATACATCTTTCTGGTCCCATTGGGTGTTGTTGTCCTGTTTCTGTGAATATAATCCTTTTGCTGTAACTTTCTACAGCCAATGCTAAAGAATCTGTTTATTTTAATTTTAATTTTTTAAGTTTAACATATCAGATTTAGTGCCAAATTAATTTTCTTTGGTGTCTTGTTTAGTGAATCAATTTTGATATCTGGCTAGCTACAGAATATAGTGACTTTGACATTTCATCCGGTGAGGCTGTTTGTGTTAAGCTCATGAGCTATGGCCTGAACTATCATGATATAAATGATAAAATATTGCTTGTATAATAATCTTGTCTTTTTTTTATCATCCTTTGTCATGATCTGAGAGATTCTCTCCATTATCTGTGTATTTGCAGTCTTTGCAATACCAAGGCTACCAGCCAGCAGACATTACTTCTTCATGCTGAAGGAAAGAAGCACAGAGCAAAAGCTCGGGCTTTCCATGCTAAGCAACAACCTAAACAGATGGAAGAATCTGTTCCAGATACCAAGGTTTCAACTGAAAATAAAGTGAATGGTGAATTGCTGGAGAATAAATCCATTGAAGAGCTCAAACCACAGGACCTGCCCAAAGATGGCCATATCCAAATCAACTCAGAAGCAGCAAATGGAGATGTATCATCAAATAAAAAGAGAAAGCTAGATGTCACTGTGATTGTTGGTACTGACAAAAATAGTGGGGATACTAGCTCAGACAAAACAGGCAATGGAGAAGTCATTCACACAACGAGAAAGGCAAAGAAATCCAAACACGATGTTATAAAAGAAGATAAAGCATTATCTGCTACTACCAAAGAAGATAACAAAAGGAAGATAAAGTGGAAGAAGTTGATTAAAGCAGCATTGAAATCCGTATGTCTCCTAATTAAGATTCATTCTATTTCAACCTTTTCTGTGTTAGAAATTTTGCTGCTTATGATCATTAACATAGATTTGTTAAGATAAACATGATGGTATAAAAGCGAGAGCTCCCATAAACCTTCCCTGAAACCAGTGGTTGGGAACTAGAGGCACAAAGTTACAATTATTTTCCTTCTGTTGTGCTTGCACTTGCATTTATGTTTTCTTTTTTATGCATGTGGCAGAGTTCTGATGGAGTTTTGAAGATGCGGAAGCTGCAAAAACTGGTTCTAAAGGCCATTCAAGAATCATGTGTGGATGAAGATGAGTCCCAACTAATTGAAATGTTGGAGCACAAGGTGAGGGTTGTTTCTTTGTGTTGTTCTTTCATTGGCATTCTTTTGGGACAGTTTAATTTAAGAACTGAAGCTCTTGTTTAATCTTGTCACAATATTCTTCTCTCTGGTGGTGTAGATTACTTCAAGCTCAAGATTTACAGTTGACAACAAATTCGTCCGACTGGTGGCTAAAGACTCAAATTAAGCTTTAATGAAGCTCTTTTTTGGTGGATTTTGAAGGATGGCAATGTCACCAAACACCAGTTATTGGTGACTATTGCAGTTTTACAATCATTCATTCTTTTCTTTTCCTTTTTTTTTTTTGAAAGGTCATTTATTACTACTTTTGTTTGAGAATCAAGTTGGAGCTGGTCCTTGACGTTGAGCCTTAACCTATTTATCGTTTCAAATTATTATAGAAATTGTCTGTCTACTGTATTTTTTTGCCTGTTTCTGGGTTATAACACACGTTGAAATACCACCAAAAGTGGTTTACTTTAAGCCAAAGTATAGCCAACATAAATTTGTTTTCTTGCACTTGGATATTGATGAAGGGACGTGAGCTCTGACCACATTTGAAGTTGAGAAATTTCCAGCGTACTAGGAATCTCATAGATGATATAGCAGCTTGTTCTAGGAATCTCAGCACCTGGAAAGGGCAGTCGGTTTATGGCTAGCAATTATCTGTTGTCATTTCGACCACTTAGCCATCCATCTATCTATCTAGGCTAGCGAGAATGCCGAGAACAGGTTGAAATTTGTAGGTAAAGAGCATTTTATAACAACATTCAACAATGAAGCAAATTATTCCATTAATGAACGCTCATCAATTTACTTACAAATGAAGATAGCCTTCAATTTCACGGTTCTATCAATGGCGAAGTATAATTTCTTGCATGAATTCTTATAAACAAAACATTTCTCGAATATCTGTTGTCTTCACAAGGATGCTCAGCAGATGGTACAGGTTGGCTCTGTTTCTCATATCATATTACATGCTTGTGGGACAACAGTTTCCTCCATTGCGGCCCAAGCATTCACTATTTCATCTGCATGCAATTCCTTGGAACTGAACATGTATAAAAGGTGTTAGGAACAAACTTCCATTCCGGGAAATTAGGTTGAAAATAGACGAAAAACTATTATAATCAGCAGTACAACAGAGCATGTCATTGCCTGCAACAACAAAGAAATACTTTTATCAAAGAGTTAAAACATAAGAGAAAAAAAAAAAAAAAAGAAATCTGATGATCTTAACTGACAGATATTATGAATGAATTTTTTCCCTGGTATACAAGAAATAATTATGATTTTGAGGGGACAAAGGGAAGGGGGTGGGGAGACCATAGTACTTACAGCAATTGCAGAAGCAGCAAGGCCTCCTCTCTCTCTAGGATCTTTACGGTAGTGATTTCCAAAATAAAGAAATGTAGCGTAGTACCACATCAATGGGCACACAAATCCTAACAGGAAGCTGTAACAAACAAGACAACATGAGAAGTGAAAAACTGCAGCAAGGACATGGTGAAGAGTGAAAAGAACTCACGAGAACCATCCGATCCCACAGCCAAAGCATGGAAGGGGTTTGTCAAAAATCCCAGTTTGGAACTCCTCCACATCTTTGACAAGTGTATACTTGCCTTTTTCTGCGGCATCTGGTGCTTGCCCTACCATCACAGCTTAACCTCTCAATTGGTTGCATAGATACTCATAAATAACGGTGATGCTTTAAGATAATGTTCGATTTATGGAGGATCACGCATGGAAACTTGTAGCAAAATAAATGTCTAATTGTATATTAAAGGAGCAGAAATGACACCCAGCCTCTGTTTGCTGCAGTGTATGGGTCAAGAATTCCTGACTGAACATGTAATTAGCTTAATAGAGTCATTACCTTTAAATACTGAATAGTATCGAGCAGATGGCCTCAAAAGTTCAAGATGTTTATCAAGACTGTTTCTCAAATTCCCTGCCTCCTCGACAGCAGCCTCTGTGACATTGGGAAGTCGTGTTATAGATGAGAATCTAATTTATAATATTCATCATTTGCCTAAGGAAAAGCAATGCTTAACTAATCATTTGCTTTGCTTTCTCTTTAAGTTCCACATGAACTAATCCTTGTGGCAGATTGTTTATAACAATAAAAAACAAGGTCTATTGCCACAATATTGTTGGGTTAATACTTTAAGTTCTACATAAGCAAATAACTTTTTTTGAGATCAAAGGATAAATTTTCTTACAAAAATCAGAACCTTTAACATTAAATCTAACCTAGGCTTATCCAACAGATCAAACACATATCCCTGTGTATTTATAACAATAAACCAAGATATAAGCAATTTTCCAAACAAACAATCATTGAGAAGTGACTAAATGAGATAGATGGCAGTTGGGACTATATATAACTGCAAAAGATAGGCCATTCTGATATGCTCTTCACCGAACTCAATTTCATTCCTACCAAGAAAGCAGCCATAGATATACTCACAAACTGTACTATGCCAACTGACTCATAGCATCCAGCACCGATGACCTTTGAAATTACAATTTGGCTGACGAAACTACACTGTTGATGACATTATTTGCTCTTATTGTTCTTACAAATCAAGTTATTTGTTCATCAAGGAAAAAAAATCATATAGTATTTGCTTTTCAGCAACATCTCTCATCAGCTGCACGATATTCTTAAGACAGAACTGTATTTCTATTAAGCATTAAAAGTCATTATCAGTGCATCAAATGGGCTCTTATACTGGCTATATAAGAAAATCCAATGTCTCCAAAAGGCGAAAAACTTGAGCTTTTCTCAAAGGGAAACAAATATAAAGCATCATATAAATACAAATTATCTCTTTAACTATTAGCCTGACAAGATAAATGGGAAAATTCAGGAGAGAAATTAACAAATACAAAGAAAGATAGATTCATTACTTTGATCCATGCGTGAAAGAGCTGATGTGTTCAGAGCGTTAAAGTCCTCAGTGTATAATCAACCGACAAGATTCCTGCTTCAAATCATACCTCCGATTCAGTTTTAGAGGCGATACATAATCACCATTTTGTAGAAAAAATACAAAGAACAATCCCAATTCAGTGAAAAATTGATCTATGATGATCACAACCGGCTACGCTGGCAGCAGGTAAGCTTATGATCCATCTTAAGATAGAGTTCATGAATTCAGCTAAAATTGGAAATTATCCAAAAAAATAAAGAACAAAGAAGAAAATTTGACAAAAATAAATCAAATGCGCCAAAATCTAAAACAAAAATTCCAATAAAAAGAAAAAAAAAAGTTCAAAACGCATAATCTTGAAAAATCAAATAAGAAATAAACAATATTAAACAAAAAAAAGGGGAAAACTTGCCGGTGATGTGATGAGCTGGAAAACTTCTGGGATCCTCTGTTTGAAAACAGAGCGAAAAAGTTTACACCTAATTTATGTCTTTTCCATTATAAACAATAATTTATGGCGGAAAATTATGGAAAAATTAAGGTTTATTTCTCTCCGCTTGTCTTAATTTATTATTATTCTTATCATCGTAATAAAAATAAACATGCTTTTTTATTTTTCACTTTATTTGAGTGCTACCTTGAAAATTATTTATTTTTATTGATTGGACCACATGTAAAATGACAACTAAACCCTTGTTCTTTGACTTTGGCTGTCTCTGTAGTTGGTACTCGGTAGTAGGGCTGTAAACGAGCCGAGCCGAGCCGAGTAGTGAGAAGCTCGAGCTCGAGCTCGACTCACAACTCGGGGCTCGATACTCGGCTCGAGCTCGATCGAGTTTTATTTTTCAAGCTCGAGCTCGATTCGTGATCGAATTCGAGCTACTCGAGCTCGCTCGATTAAGCTCGATTAATATGTAAAAATAAGCTCGATTTGTATACTCGACAAGAGTTCGATTATTCATGCTCGAACTCGAACTCGAACTCGGATTCGAAATATTTTTTTAATTAAAAAAAATAAAAATATATTTAAATATAAAAGCTCGATTAGGCTCGCGAGCTACTCGAGTCAGATATAAGAATACTCGAATTCGGCTCGATCGATAAGTCGAGCTACTCGAGCTCGAGCTCGACTCGACAATAATCGAACCGAATTCGAGTTTTTTTCGAATCGAACCCGAGTAGCTTGCGAGTACTAATGTATCATTTACACCCCTACTCGGTAGTAGGTAATATTGGATTCTTTTTCAATAGTAAATTGTAAATTACTAGAATTTAAATTTTAAATTTATTAAATATTATTTTAAAAATAAATATATAAATTAAATTTCAATGCGATGCTATTGGATTTTATTGCTAGTTCTGGTTAATAATTTTGGACCCCAATTGGCTGGCAAACGTCAAGGCCCTTCAAAGATTATGTAGAGAGAAAAATGTCATGAAAAAAAAAAAAAAAAATCAAGGCCAAAGCCTTATATTTTGAGGCCTATGTACTTTTCCTGAAGTATTCACCATTACTTGTTTTTTTTTTGTTTCATTATGAATTTATCAAAAAATATTACAAAGTCCTAACAATTCACTTGGAAAATAAACCCCAATAAATTAATTTTATTGGCAACTAAATCTAGATGTTACTATTAAAAAGATTGAACCAAATTTTAAAATTTCATTTTAATTTTAGCTTAACATGGTTAACTTTGCGTTTCAAGTGTCAAATTCGTGGTAGTTACGAATAGAAGTTAAAGGAGATCCATCATCAACAACCCATCTGTCGGAGAAACCAAGAATAAAAAGGAAGCAAACACGTTTGATTCGGCCAAATAATTTCCTGGAAAGTTGGGAAAACTGTTGTTTATTAGAAGGAAAATGGGAAAAGAAGAAAACCTCAAACTAAGGAAGAAGGTCCACTGCGATTATTATTTTGCCAATTGCTAGGTCGGTATAACAAAAAATCGCATTTGGGGCAGTCAAACATTGTATTTAGCCGTGATTTAAGGATGAACATGGAACTTTTTGGTAGGAAAATGTAGAATTAGCTTCAAACCAAATTTTGTTGGTAAATAATTATTTGAATTAATTTATGTAATTATTTCTTAAAAATAATATTTAATAAATTTAAAATTTAAATGTTAATATTTATATTTTTTATTTTCTATTTACCACCTCATTTAAAAAAAAAAAGAGATAGTTCCTCTTCCAATACTCCCCTTTTATTAATCTTAAAATAAATTCTAATGAATTTTTAGAATAAATAAAATAATTACCATAATCCTTAAAATATTGGTGCGTAGATGTAATGCTTTAATACATTCCTTTGTATTTCTAACTTGATAAAGATTGGACAAGCTTTTAGATGTTCCTCCCCCAATACGTCCGACCGACCATTATTCGAAGCTAAAGCCCATAAGCAAAGAAGAAAATGTCCAAGCCTAAATCAACATATGTTAATCCAAATGATAAAAAGTTCAATATTTTTTAAATAAAATTTTAATTTTGAGTTTTATAAATAAAAAAATAAATTTAAAAAAATTTATTTTTTATAAGATTCGATCTAATTTTAAATTAATCAAAACTTAAAATAATTATTTCGAGAATTTCAAATAAAAAAATGTCTAGATCTAGCTCTCTCAAATTTAAAAAAAAAAAGTAAAAATAAAATAGATCTAAAATTATAATATTCGATTTAATTTAAATTAATTTTTTATTTATGTTGAATTAAATTAAAATATTAAATATATATTAAATTTGAATCAAATTTTAAATTAAAAAATAGATAATAAAAAATAAAAAAATTTAAATTGAATCAAATTATATATATTTAATTTTTATAAAATAAAAAAATAATTTTATGTTAAAATTTATATAAATATATTAAAATAATATATAAATTTAAAAAATATTACAATTTAAAAATTAATAAATACAATTGAATAAATAAAATTTAATTTGAATCTATTTAGATCAAATAAAAATTTAAATCGAATTAACATCGAATTTTAAAATTTATAATCTTATATAATATTAAAAAAAAACAAATTACATTTAATCCAATCCCGTATCACCCTCCATCTAATTCCATCCATTCCTAACATGGAAAGTCTTTTTCTTGGATTTTGTCGTACCGCCCCTCCTTTGCACCGACCACAATTCTAGCCTAGCCTTGTATGGATCCAGGTGTCTCTGGAACGCCACGTTCAGCATACTCGAAAACCGAAGAATAAACAGTTTGAAAAACAAACGCTGCTTTTGGGACACGTTCCAATAAGCTTCTCTTCGCTTCTATTGTATTTCTCTTCCTTTTTCTCTTTATAAAGCAAGAATTCCGACACCCTTGTTTTTCTCTGTCTTTGTGTTGCGTGAGTTTACTAGGAAAATTTAAGATGGGAGATGGTCACATGGGAGTAGAAGCAGAAGCATCAACAATTAACGATCATGGTAGCAGCGATGATCATAGAAACGAGGTGGATATTTACCCTCTAAGTTGTTACTATTTTGGATCCAAAGAAGCCATTGCTTTCAAGGATGAAACTCTGTATGATCGTATTAATAGGATGAAATCCAAGTACTTTACCACATCTCTTTTTTCCCCATGTAGAATTCGATTGGGTTATTTTTATTTGCCAAAATCTTTGTGGGTTTGTCACTCTTAACTTTTTATTTTCCTAGTTATGCTGCTTATGGATTGAGGACTTCTGTAGAAGCAGTTATTCTGGTTGGTTCTTTTTCTGTACTCTCTTTCTGGATTGGTTTAATCTTAATCACTGTTCTTCTTATGGTTATATTTAGAAGGTTTGAATAACTAAAAATATGTTGCATATTGTTTAAATTTTGAAGGAGTTGCATAGTTTTAGGTATAGCAAGAAGTTGTTCTCTGTCCCGTGCTTAGTGATGACTGATGATTGACTATATATAGGGGATTTTACTGAAGAATTAGTCAAAAAGTTATCGAATTTAGATAGTTCAATGCTGAAACTAATCTTATATAAGAATTCTTGAAAGTGACTTCCAGTCTATGGCAAACTGTTAGTCAATTACCAAAGAGGCGGCTTCTGGAGGTTGAGAACAACGATTTTTAGGTGTTTTCCACATGGTGCACCACTTGTAATGTTGTGAGAAGGCAAACTTGTTAGTTCTGACCAGACAATTGTATGTGTTTCATGCAAAATTAGTCCCATGGGGATGTATTAGTTTAGTTATTCTTTTTCAAATGTTTTAAGCAATGTCTTTTAATCAGGTTGAATTGTTCAAACACCCTCATTTGTTGCTGCTGCAAGTTAGAAATTCCATCTTTAAGCTTCCTGGTGGTCGTTTGAGGCCAGGTGAATCAGGTAACTTGCTAGTTTTATTAAACCGTCTTACAAACTTGAATTTGGTTAGGTGTATCATCCTTGAGCTGCAGGGCATTCTTCTAACGGTTCACTGAACTAAGATTGAGCTGAATTTCCAGATACCGATGGGCTGAGACGTAAGCTTTCTAGGAAGCTTTCTGCCAATGAAGATGGCAATGAAACTGAATGGGAGGTAAAGCAGTTTTTTCCCTCATTTGTATTGAAGGTTTTTTGTGACATGGTGTGAAAATTCTCATGTTCTTAAATATTTAGGTGGGAGAATGTCTTGGCATGTGGTGGCGGCATGATTTTGAAACATTGTTGTATCCGTACTTGCCACCCGATGTAAAAAAGCCTAAGGTAGTTGGTACCTTAATACTGCTTCTTTTGCAGTGCTATACCTTTCTCAGTTCTTATGTTAATCTCATTGTATAGGAGTGCACCAAACTCTTCCTTGTGAGGTTGCCAGAGAGTCGAAAATTTATTGTTCCCAAAAACCTGAAATTGCTTGCAGTTCCACTGTGCGAGGTTCACGAAAATCACAAGGTACAATTTAACACTACTATTGGAATAAATAAATGGTGCTTGGACATTCAATCAAGACTAAATAATACCGTTTTGTTATATGTAACGTTTGATGCAATTTCACTGCTATTTTTTGGATGTTACTTTGACAAGTTCATTTTGGATATCAATACATAACCTTCTTTTTAGGGTAGCTTCATCATGATGTCCTCGTATTTATAATTTATGCTACAAACTTGTTTGTTCATGGTGTAAGATTTTCACTAGAGTTTTACATGTTGCTTATGCTTTTTAATTTTTAATTTTTGTAGACATATGGACCGATAATATCTGGAGTGCCACAGTTGCTATCTAAATTCTCCATCAACATTATTGATACTTAGAATATGCATGTTGACCATACCGAGTGGGATTAAGGTAAAATTACAGAGATTTGATAGAAGTTTTCAATCTTGGGCTTGTAATTTTCATTAAATTTCGAAACACACTTGTATATACCATAGTTTGCTTACTGGAAGTGATACATTACATAACATTGAGCTCAACAATATTAAACTTATCTTCACTTTTGTCTTTTTATTTATTTTTTAATTCCTTTTCCATAATGTTTCACTCACTAACTTTATGAGTTGAATTGTAAATCAACAAGTTCTCCTTAACCTTTTTTTTTTTTTTTTTTTAAGATTTAGCTGCTGATAGAACAAATTTTTGTTGGCATTTTACTTTGCAAAGTATTAGCTCACTGATTTTAGGGTTTAGCCATGGTAGAAGTACATATCTATCTGGCTATATTGAGTAAGACCAAAGTTTCTGGTAAAAGCCATGTCTTATAACATATACCCTCTTTGATGGCGGGGAAGTCAAGTTCAATGAAAAGAACTTTGAAGGAGAGAGGGATGAGACCTGAGAGCTCTTCATTAATCTTTTAACCGATAATATCAAGGAAAACTATCATTCATAATTTCATATGCATCAGACTCAAAATTCATAGGCAAGCTCCACTCAAAATAAGTATGTCAGACAGTTTGAAAGATTCTCGCAACAATCTGATAAAACCAACCAACCTGTGAACTGAAAACAGTCACTCTTTTATGGGATTCTGTTTGATTCCCCCTCTGAATTCTGCACTTTGATAGATTGTGATCCTCCCTTGTTGCCAGGCATCCAAGGGGCAAAGTGAGCCATCTTGCCACTTTTTGAGAGTTTAGCCAAAATTAGGTTCCTGCTATGATCCAAGGATTCCGTAGAGGACTGAGACAGCCAAGTGGTCCCATATTCATTAATGGTAAACTAGTAGATTTGATGTTTTGCAGGTTTCAAGCGGATTCATTGAACAATTCAAAGAACGCGATTGAAATTAACTTGCAATAATTGCATCCGATATGTTCCTGTTTTCCTTAGCTATAAGCTGTGCATGATTCTGCGTGGACTTTATACTGCAATTGCTGTAATTATGCATCTTTTTTATTAGCTAGTGACGTGCTTGATAAAACCAAACCAGGAGGATTGCTTAACAATTTTTGGCTACCAAACACGAGACAATAAAATGTGATGGTTGAGAAGAAAAAGCAAGAATAATTTATGGGCTACCAGAAACCGCAACTACTAAATTGCCTGGCCTTCCATCTAGTCGGCTGTTGCCTGCTATCCCCTGTCACTAGGCGAGCAACTTGGTACTGCTTAATACCTCTCCAAGCCGTTTGCTGCGTTATCCGTTATCCCCACAAGTGAATCGCCATAAATATGACCTTATACTGTTGCCAGTGTGACAGAGACTCAACTTTAAGCCCACATTCATCAATATCCAAAGCGGCCAAAATAAGAAAGGCCAAAGCCGTCTTTTTCTGACTTCCATAGTCAATAACCGGCCAGCTAAAATATAGAACTTTTTGTTGTCTTCTCCCTATGATCAAACTAATCTTTGCGGAAAAATAAATAAAAGCCTGTCGTGTTATTTCACCGATCATTGTGGACAAACAGTGAAGAATGTAATTGGAGAATGGAAAATATTTTTATATATATTTAAAAAAGTAATGGTCAATCATTCACGTCATTATCATGGTGTGTAATATGATTAATCTAAATTTCTGTAAAAATGACAGTAATCCTACTTATATGTTTGGTTCAACTAGCTTCAGTCAAAATTTTGTGAGATAATTTGCGAATTGTCATATGATTTATTGTTGAAATTTTGAACTCTCAATTAATCACTATGAAAATGAATTTAAAAACTTGAATAAATTTATTTACTTTTGATAAATAATAAATTTTTTTTAGACTATGAAGTATGAACTGTTTGCTAAAGCAAGTTTTCAACTACTACTTCTCATGAACCATGAATAAGCCAGCTTGGTTTTAGACTTGTAAATTTTTTTAATGTTTCACATTTATAGAAATTTATTTTTATTTCAAAAATTACAGAAAGGTAATCTTTTATTGGATATATGTGCAAGAGAAAAAGTAAACGGGAAGTCAGGTTATATTATGGCAGAGACTGGTCTATGCTCTTTGGTCTTTCTCCATCTATACCAACCATTAAAAAATCTCCACTGGTTTTCTTCTCTCTTAATAAATCCACTTTAAAAACAAAGCGCAAAATCAAAATTATTAAAAAAAAACCCTCTTTGCCAACGAAAGGAAAGGAAAGCAAAGAGGAAGAAAGAAATGATGAAGAAAGGAAAGGGAATTTTAAACCCTAATTTGAAGATCTCTCTTCTTCCTCCAGCCGAGAGCTCCTTCGCCAAATTTCTGTAATGATAAATAAGTATTATGTCCGCTCACTCTAATTTTCTACTTTTTTTTAAGGTCTGATCTTGGTGATTAATTTTTCGTGGCAGAACCGAAAGCGGTACATTCAAAGACGGCGATCTCCTCGTCAACAAAGACGGAGTTCGAATTGTTTCTCAATCCGAATCTGTAGCTGTAAGACGGCGATCTCTTCATTTTAAAAAAATTGTTTTTCATTGTTCAGATTCTTTAACTTTTTATGCATCTCTCGGTGGCTCTTGACTAAAAAGATTTTACCACTAGAGAATTTCTTAATTGATGAAAACTTTTTCTATTATTAAGCTTGATTTGTTAAAATTTCTTGTTTAAAAATCTTAATTTGTCTCTGTTTTTTCTTGGTTTTAGCCTCCGCCCATTAAGCCATCAGAAACTGACACGGATGATCAGTTGAATTTAGATGATATAGATGCGATTAAAGTTATTGGCAAGGGTAATGGTGGAATTGTGCAATTGGTCCAACACAAATGGACTGGCCAATTTTTTGCATTGAAGGTATATATCCAAGAGCCAATTTTAAGTGTTTAACACTTTCTGTATTCTCATGTTTTTTGTTTTTAAAATTTTTCATTGTCTGTTTTTTTGTTAAGCAAGAATTATTGCCTTTTTAACAGCATTTGTATTATTTTATACATATCACCTCTGTGTTAATGAATTTACATTTTGTAATGTTGGCACTTGGAACCTTGTCTTTTTGGGTGCAGAGAACAGGAGTTGGTTTCTTGAACCTTTATTTTTTGTGGCAAAAAAAAAAAAAAAAACCCTTTGATTTTTCTAGTTCCAGTAAAATCCGATGATGCTCTAGTTACAAAAATAGAATTTCAGTGGTTGTTCTGGCTTGTAAAATTAAAGTGCCAGAATCCTGCGGCTGAGGTTATTTGTTTACCTTATGTCAACTCCAGTCAAGGCCTTGATTCCTGGAAACTTATTGATAGGTTTGATCATGATAAATGATGACAAAAAATCTATCCTAAATCATACTTGACAGATGTATTGTGATCTATTTCCATTTATAGAAATGCTGCTGTTGTTGGGTGCACTATGAATTAATGAAGCATGTCCAGCCTTTCTTGATTCTATAGAAGCCATTCTTCTAAAACAGATATTTTTGTTCCTTTTTAAATATAGCCATATAACCATTTTAGCAATAGAATGTGATTTTTAGTTTTGCTTCTCCATGTTGTTCTACAATATTATAAATTCTCACATGTCTTCTTTTATCAGATTATTCAAATGAATATTGAGGAGTCAGCTCGCAAACAGATTGCAAAGGAATTAAAAATAAATCAATCCTCTCAGTGTCCATATGTTGTTGTTTGTTATCAGTCTTTCTATAATAATGGTACCATTTCAATCATCTTGGAGTATATGGACGGTGGATCCCTAGCTGATTTTCTGAAAAAGGTTAAATCCATTCCCGAACCCTATCTTGCTGCAATATGTAAGCAGGTTAGTACATTTGCACTTTGAATTAATTATACTATGTACCAGAATTTCTTGTATTCGTTTTGAAATTCTTCTCATTAATGCAGGTGCTAAAGGGTTTGATATATCTTCATCATGAAAGACACATTATCCACCGAGACTTAAAGCCATCTAACCTGTTAATAAATCATAGAGGAGAAGTCAAGATCACTGACTTTGGTGTGAGTGCAATAATGACAAGCACCTCAGGGCTAGCAAACACTTTTGTTGGCACGTACAACTATATGTCTGTAAGTAATTTACTGTAACAAATAATTATTTTGTGGTGGATAAGGTTATTGTATTCTTATATGCTCAAAACTTTTTAGTTTTTTAATGTCTATTTACTTATTTTGTAGCCTGAGAGAATTATTGGTGGCAATTATGGCAATAAAAGTGACATTTGGAGCTTGGGACTAGTGTTGCTTGAGTGTGCAACAGGTCAATTCCCATATTCCCCACCAGAGCAGGCAGGATGGACTAACTTTTATGAGCTTATGGAACAAATTGTTGAACAACCACCGCCTTGTGCACCTTCAGATCAATTTTCTCCTGAATTTTGCTCATTTATTTCTGCATGGTAAAGATTATTTTTTGAATGAGTTACTTGATACACTAGCCTTAAAAGATGTTCTAGAATGTTTTTGCACTATAATGAGTTATTGAGTTTCTTATTTTAAATTAAAAGTCTTCTTCAATTGGGATTCTGTCAAAAGAGATCATTTATTAGTTTCCTTTTGATATTGGAGAGAGCCTCTGCAATTGTATTTTTTTTTTCTTTCCTTTGGATTTTATAGAATTGTTTGATCATATGAGTTTAAAAAGCCTGGCCTTGGGTTCTTTTTTCCATGACAGTGTAAAGAAAGACCCAAAGGAAAGAAAGTCGGCACATGAACTGCTGGTATGTAAATATCTGGTTTCCTCTATGGCACCTTTTCAAGTAGTAAAAGAAATTGATTATTATCTGTTAAGATGTTTCACATATGATTTTCAATGTGAATACAGGAACTGCCTTTCTTGAACATGTATGATGACTTGGATGTGGACCTCTCATCTTACTTCAACGACGCAGGATCACCACTTGCAACCCTTTAGAACTTATGTGGTATGTCTATACTTGGGTTTGGTGTCATAATTTTCTTATATGGGTTGCTCTGTACTACTTCAGGACTCTGCCTTTGGAATTAAAGTTCACATGCTTTGGCGTGGGACTGTTCACATGATTTTGTAACATATCTATTCAAAAAACTTGTTTTCACTATGATGAGATGAAATTTATCTTGTCTTTTCTTTATATCTAAAGCATAATAATGTAGCTATTAATCATTTTCTTCTCAAGGCTTCTGTCTATTTAGAATCCAAGAATCACTTTTCTGGCTTTTGGGAACTTGAAGATGTTAGAAAAAATAAGTTAAAGAAAGAAAAACTGAAAGAAAGAGTCTAATAAGCAAAGTTGTTTTTGGCTTTGGATACAATGACCAAATTGGTGATGAGTTCTAACAACTATCACCTAATTATACCCTGGGCTATATAGAATATGGCATCATTTTTTTTTCCAGATCTTCCAATATTTTCATGCATAATGCAAGATTATAAGGTCATATTTGATACACAAGATTATGATAGGATAGGATAAGATGATATTATGAATAGGATTAGATTAAATAATGTCATCCTATTTTGTGTTTGATGTATGCAAGGATCATGATAGGGTAATTTATTTATTTATTAAAATTATCCTTCCTCAAAGTTTATACAATTTAAATTATTGTAATTTTTAAGGGTATAATTAGATATGTAAGTTTAATCCCAAGAATTAAAAGTAATCCTCTCAACTTGGGGAGGATTGAATAATCCTATGCCAAGAGGATATTAATCTTCCTTACAATTCCTATCCCTCTATTCAGATGCAAATTGAATATGATATAGGATGATTATCATCTTATCCTATCAATAATGATTATCATCATATCTTATCAATAATCTTATGTATCAAACATAACTTAAGTTATTTATTCCATTCTCCTTGAGAGCTCTAGTGATTCTAACTTCTAAGTACCCATAAAGATGGTGTCCCTATCTTGTCATGATGATGGACTAGATATTGGTTGATCAAATTGTTTTATTCTTAATGCATGTTTTCTGCTTTATAATGTTGATCAATTCGATTGCTGCTCAGGCAATGTGTTTGGCGAACTGTGGTTGAAGTTCTTTATTTTTTTCCCTATAGAATACTTTTGATTTTTTTTTTCCCAAAAGGTAATTATTCATTTTGGCCGCTATCCGTGTGTTTAAATATGGCAGGCACCATTCATGCTTGAGTTGTAATTAATATTTATTACCAGGGGTGCCTTTTAAACTGAAACCAACATTGTCACCTTCTTTTTGGCACAGTTCAGACCAAACAAATAAAATAACTAGTCAGACTCTGAAAGAACGTCAGTAGAAGTTGTAGAAGCAAGGAAGATTTGTAGTTGTGACTAAAGTACAAGACTTATTTGAGCGGCTGTTGTGATGGCGAGGCCCAAAGTTAAGCATCAAAGACTATCATAAAAATTTCTTGCCAGAGGACTACGAGCGCGAGGTACAGCTTGTTGCTGTGTGTTAATGTTTTATAATTAAAAGGAAATGCTGTCATATATTAAGAACAATTTCATAAACTTCCCGAAATAGGAATTGTACTAAATTAGATAATGGAAGTGACAATTTTAACTAGTCTAAATTAGATAATGCATGCACTTGAGTTTGTAATAAGAATGTCTTGACCTTTAGGTCTGGCAAATTCAGGGATCCTTTTATGGCCAGTTTGGTGTCATCTGGTTGATTCTTCAATGAATAATAATTTGGCAATCTTTCCAACAATTATACTACTATGGATGTATAATCATATCCTATAAGACTCGTAGATCTCTCTGCATTGTCTTTTCGTAGAGAGAAGTCCTTTTTCTGAAGAGCCAGGGAGAATGTATCCTAATCTGTTGAGTATGACTCTTGAGCGATGATTTTGAAGAGGACGTTGCAAAGGCTAATTGGACGAAGTTGATGAATATTGACAGGGTTTTCTATTTTTGGAATCAACGCAATTTTCGTATTATTCACTCATCAAAGAGATTTTTCCATTTCAAAAATGTAAACAAAAACGGGTGACTTTTAATTACCGATAATATGCCAATGTTTTGAAAAAAGAAAAAGACATACCATAACGTTCGTGGTTTATGGGATTTGATCGAGTGCGTTTGTTTAATTCATCGATGGACTTCCTGACTGGGAGTTCTGCAAGTTAAAAGTTATATATCTCATTTGTTACTTTGGGTTCCACTGCCTCTAAGATTCCTTCGAAGCGATTGTTTCCTTGGGACTGAAATGGGGTCGGAAAAAAGATATTTTTTCTTAAATATATCTTTTGAAAGCAATGTTCACTCAAGTTATTCGTCATATTTATCTCTTATTACTGGAGTCCTTTACATCGGTTTAGTAAAAAGTTTATACTGCCGCTGGGACATAGACAGGTCAACAGTCAACCCAATCTTAAATCCGGTGTGAACAAATTCCAGCTGGCTCAACTTGCTCAACTTGCGTTGTTCTAATCTTTTATTAAGCGTCCAATTAAAACTAGTGAAAAAAAAAAAAAAAGAACCCTTACCAGGAGGCACTAGCTGCAGTCCCTGTATTGCAAATTTGCAATGGTTTGTTTGACTGCTATTAGCAATTAGGTTGAAGTTTTTCATTTGCTTTCTCCTCTCATAGCTTTCTGACTTTTGAGATCGAAAAAGACTCATGGATTGGCTGAGTCCAATACTGGACATTGGAACTCGCTTGTGTGATTGCAGTTCCAAGCATATGGCCTACATCTACAATCTTGAAGAAAATCTTCAAAAATTGCGAACGGAAAAGGACGCACTCAACCGCCGCAGCCATGACGTACGACGCAGGGTGGAAGACGCTGTGCAACAACCACGAATGAGGCGTTCGGAGGAAGTGGAACTGTGGCTGACAAGTGCAGAAACCATGGAAAATGAAGTAAATGTAATTATTCAAGAAGGCGATCGAGAACTGTCAAATAAGTATGTCGGAAGCTGCTGCCCTAAGAACCTAAAGTCGAGCTACAAGATTGGGAAGCGAATCATTAAGAAGATAGATTCTGTGATGGACCTAGTGCATAAGGGTGAGCCTTTCTCTTCAGAGTCGGCCGTTGTGGTGAGGCTGCCACGTATGCGGCTCCTGATGCCTTTGTGGCCTGTGGAAAACACTGTTGGCGTTGACTCTACAGTTGAAAGGATATGGAAACTTATTGAGGATGAAAATGTTAGAGTTATTAGATTATGTGGAATCGGAGGTGTTGGAAAAACGACCCTCTTGAAGAAAGTTAGCAATGAATTCCATAGGCAGAGCCATGATTTTGAAGCTGTTATTTGGGCCCAGGTCCCCAGACAAGAGGAATATATAGAGAAAGTTCAAGAGGTGATTAGGAAGAAATTGGACATCCCAGATGCCACATGGAATCAGTGTTCAGGCGAGGACGAGAAGGGGGCTCAGATATCTAGTGTCTTGTATGGTATAAAGTTTGTGCTATTGTTGGACAATGTATGGGAGCAGTTCGACCTTCTAAAACTGGGCATCCACCTGTGGAATGATCAAAATCAGTCCAAAGTAATATTTACAGCCCGCTCACTAGGGTTGTACTTTGACATAGAAGCTCAAGTGACAATCGAAGTTGAGTGTTTACCCCCTAAGGAAGCCCGGAGTTTATTTAGGAGGACGGTTGGTGAAAGTATACTAAGTAGGGATCCAGATCTCTCGGAGTTGGCAAATACTTTTGCTAGAAGGTGTGGAGGGTTGCCACTTGCTCTCCTCACTGTTGCTGGAGCCATGGCTTGTCGGAAAAATCTTCGTGAATGGCGTCACACAATTGAGCTGTTACATACCAACCCATCAGAGATTGCAGGTATGGGGGCTTATGTGTTTCCTCTTCTCAAGTATAGCTATGATAACTTGAACGAAGCCACAGCTCAAAACTGTTTTTTGTATTGTTCCATATTTCCAGAGGATTATAACATTAGAATAGATGAACTTATTGATCTCTGGATAGGAGAAGGTTTCCTAGATGGACCCAATCCATACGATCAGGGAGAATTTATGGTCGGGACATTAAAGCTCGCGTATTTACTTGAAAGTGATGAAACTAAACATTGTGTTCGGATGCATGATGTAATCCGTCACATGGCTTTGTGGCTGGCCCGGGATCAAGGAAAAAAGAAGAACAAGGTTTTGGTAGAAAAAAGTGGAAGGATTACAGATCAGGAACTCACAAAATGGGAAGAGGCGAATTGGATTTCCTTGTTTGGCAGTAGTAGTAGAAAAGTGAACATAGATCGCTCACCATCTTGCCATTATCTCTCAACTTTGCTCTTAAGAGATGCACAGCTGGAATCATTTCCCAGTGGATTCTTTGACTCTATGCCTGCTTTGAAAGTTTTGGATTTGTCAGGTAATGGAAACTTAGTTGAGTTACCTTCCAATATTGGAAATGTGACAACTTTGCAATATCTTAATTTGTCATTAACAAGCATAGCAAGGTTGCCTACTGCCCTTAGAAATTTGAGAAACCTCAGGTGTTTGCTATTAGATTATACTATGAATCTTAAATGGATTCCAAAGGAGGTGATATCTAATCTTTTACTCTTGCAAGTTTATAGTAAAATAAATGGAGTTACGGAGTACTTTGGCTCAGTGGAAGTTATGCCTTACGATGAAATTGCTTTTTTAGAAGTGTTGGAGTGTTTGAATCACATAAATAAAATAGGTATCACTATATTTGGTGCCTCTTCTCTGGAAAAAATATTGAAATCCTACACTTTACGGAGTTGCATTAGAAAATTAATGTTCATGGAATGTATCAGCTTGGTTTCGCCGTATTTTACAGAAGACTTGAGCAATCTAGAAAGACTTGAGATGTTTCGTTGCAGTTCACTCAAGGAGTTCAGACTATCAGAACAGTGTAAACTTGGCAACCTTAGTAAGGTATACATAGGAGTTTGCCCACTGTTGTTGAACCTTAATTTTCTCGCATCTGCTAGAAGCCTTGAGATGCTTACAATTCTTGACTGTGAGTTGCTGAAGGAAGTTACAAGTGAGAACGCATTCCCTCGGCTGAAAACTATTTCCTTGACTCGTCTGCAAAATCTGAAAAGCATCTGTCCATCACCCAGGTGCTTTCCTTTTCTGTTGGAAATTGAAGTATCTAAGTGCCCATGGTTGAGGCAGCTTCCATTTGACTTGGAAGGCGCAAATTTCTTACAGAAAATTAGAGGAGAAACAGAGTGGTGGAATGGTTTGATTTGGGATGATGAAGCCATTAAGGATGCTTGTCGCTTGAAATTTGTATCCACCCCATTCGAGCTCTTACAAGGAAAGAAAGATCAGGCTTTCACCAAGAAGTGAGTATATGCTTTTGTTATTGATGAATTTAAGTATTACTATTATTCTTTCAACAAATGAGGAAAAAAGATTTACGACCATAATCTCACACACTCAAGTGAGATGGTTTGCTTTTACTATTTTTGCATGAGAACTAGGTATAATCTATGGATTAGAGGGGCTGTTATTGAATTATATATGCCTAATTCATTCCTTGGTGATGAAATTCATTGCAGAATCTCCAAATTTCCGCAATGATAATAGTTATTATGTCCGCCCATTCAAAATTTCTACTTTATTTTTCCTTTTTTAATTTTTTTAAAGTTTGATTTTGGTGATGAATTTTTCATGGCAGAACTGAAAGCGGTGAAATCAAAGGAAGGTTTGAAATTTTCAATGTAGATCTACTTGACATTGCAGTAACCGTAAGATTTTGCAATTTTCTTTTTCAAAGAATTTGCTTCTTTCTTTTTAAATGTTTTTCATTGTTTAGATTCATTTACTTTTTATATATCTAATATATAAAATGCTCTTGATTAAAAAGTATTACCAATTGATGAAGACTTTTCTATTATTAAGTTTGATAATTTTTTTTATAAATTTCATGTTTCAAAGATCTTATTTCTCTCTTTGTTTTTTTGGTTTCATCCTCCACTTATTAAGCAGTCAGAAACTGCCATGGATGATCAGTTATATTCAGAAGATATGGATGAAAATGACACAGACAATCAGTTGAATTTAGAAGATGTGGATGAGACTGACACGGACAATCAGTGGAATTTAGAAGATATGGATGAGACTGACACGGACAATCAGTTGAATTTAGAAGATACAAATGTGATTAAAGTTCTCGGCAAGAGTAATGGTGGAATTGTGCAATTGGTACAACACAAATTGACTCGCCAGTTTTTTGTATTAAAGGTATATAACCAAGTTTTAACACTGTTTATATTTTCAGTTTAGTTTTTTCTTTTCATTATCTGTTTTTTGCTTCAGTTTATCTCTCTAAGCAGCATGGTTTAAGGAATAATTATTGTTTTTTCAACATCATTTCCACAAGTTCATATGTATCACCTCTATGGTAATGAAATTAAATATCTTGAATGTTACTGGTTTTAATGTGTTTTATTCCTTTTGAGCTCCATGTAAATTTTGAGTTCTGACACTGTCTCTTATAGCAGATCATTCAAATCAATATGGAGTCAACTTGCAAACAGATTGCAGAGAAATTGAAAACAAATCAATCCTCTCAGTGTCCATATGTTGTTTATTATCAGGCTTTCTGTAATGATGGTGCCATTTCAATCATCTTGGAGTATATGGATGGTGGATCCCTAGCAGATTTTCTGAAACAGGTTAAATCCATTCCTGAACCCTATCTTGCTGCAATATGTATGCAGGTTGGTACATTTGACCTTCGAATTAATTATAGTATGTATCAGATGCTTTGGTGTGCATTTTAAGATTCTTTTTCATTAATGCAGGTGCTCAAGGGTTTGATTTATCTTCATTTTGAAGCACATATTATCCACCGGAACATAAAGCCTTCCAAGTTGTTAATAAATCATAGAGGGGAAGTCAAGATCACCGACTTTGTGGTGAGTACAAGACTGACAAGCTCTTCAGGACGAGCAAACACTTTTGTTGGCACATACGACTATATGTCTGTAAGTAATTTATTTATTCATGCTGTATCAAATTATTTTTTTTCTGATGGCTAGGTGTATCTTATTTGTTCTAATCTTATAGTTTTTAATTTCTAATATTTGTTTCTTCTGTAGCCAGAGAGAATTGTTGGAGGCAGTTATGGCATTAAGGCTGACATTTGGAGCTTGGGGCTAGTGTTGCTTGAGTGTGCAACTGGTAAATTCCCGTATTCCCCACCAGATCAGGCAGAAGTATGGTCTAACTCTTATGAGCTTATGGAATGTATTGTTGAACAACCACCACCTTGTGCGCCTTCGGATCAATTTTCTCCTGAGTTTTGCTCATTTATTTCTGCATGGTAAGGATTATAGTTTGAATAAGCTACTTGATGCACTTGCCTTAAAAGGTTTTCTAGAATAGTTTTGCACCATATCAAGTTATTGAGTTTTGTTCTAAATTCAAAATGTTTCTCCAAAGTGGCATTCTTCCATAGGAGATCATTTCTTACTTTTTTACATTACATCCTTTTGATACTCTGGAGGTCGCATCTTCAATTTGTATTTTCTTCACTTGGACTTTCTAGAATTGCTTGATTACATCCTTTTGATACTCTGGAGGTAGCATCTTCAATTGGTATTTTCTTCACTCTGACTTTCTAGAATTGCTTGATCTTACATGCTCACCAAGGTCAGTTGTTGGTTCTTTTATCTATTACAGCCTGCAGAAAGACCCAAAGGAAAGGAAGTATGTCCATGAACTATTGGTATGTAAATATCTGCATTCATTTGTGGCCTCTTTATTTTCAAGTAGAGAATTTCTGCTAAATGGATGCTTCATGTATAATTTTTTATCTGAATCCAGGCACTGCCTTTCTTGACCATGTACGATGATGTGGATGTGGACCTCTCATCCTACTTCAGCAGTGCAGGATCACCACATGCAACCCTTTAGAACTTATTTGGTATGTCCATGCTTGGGCTTTCTTATATTGAGCCTTCTGGGTCGCTCTGTACTATTTCTGAACTCTGCCTTTGGAATTAAAATTCACATACTTTTTTGTGGCGTTGGTCACGGGATCTTGCTGCTTATCTGTTAAAAACCCTTGTTTTCACTGATAAAAAAAAAAAAAAAAAACTCTGTTTGAAGTTCTTTATATCACTTTTCCCCTAAAGGATATTCTTGAAAAGAGAACGGTTTTTCCTCAAAAACTAATTGTTCATGTTTATAGTTTAATCTATGTGCTTAAAGATGATCACAAAAATCATGCTTGATGTGTACTTAATACTTACCATGGCTACCATATGAAGTGAAACGGACACTGAATATTTTTTCCCCTCTTTTTGCCACAGTTCAGACTGAACAAATAACATGTCAGACTAAAAAAATTGGAGGATCTAAAGTTGTAGACGTGTGAAAGATTTATAGTTGTCATTGTGACTGAAGTGAGGAACTTATTTGAGCTTCTGTTCTATGACTGAGGCCCAGAGCTTTTGAAGCATTCAAGGATTCTCAAAAAATGTTGGTAGTGACAGGGGACTCGGATTGCAAGGATCAGCTTGCCCGTGTGTTAATTGTTTCATTATCAGATAGTAATGCTTGTCATATTTCATCAAGAACAAAAAATAATTGTATAAACTTGCTGGAAAAGGACTTGTACCGGACTAGAGAATGGAAAATGACCAAAATTTGGCTTGCCTATTTCAGTTTCAATTGTAATAAATTCTGTTAAGATGATGTGAACTACAGTTGTGCTGGTGCATTTGGATGCATGAACATTGGATCCTCTAATTTACCATGGTTTGACACTCTGGTCTTTAAGGGTCTTTTAACCACCAGATAGCTAATCCACATTGATATGGTTGGTTATCTGTAATCTGGTTGATTCTTGAATGAATAATAATTTGATAATCACCCTTTTCACTGAGAAAAATGATATCATCCCACATTTTGATTTTGGTTGCTCATGATTTAGGTGTGCCAAACCAAGTTGATCGAGCTAGCACGCTTGTTAGGGCACTTGGCTTTTTTTTTTCTTTCTTGATGTGTATTCTGGAACTTGATTTTTCCCCACCGTGAGGGTCTACGATTTACTAAGCAATTAGATTTACTAACTTCAACCATCACGTCATTGGATTTACGACTATTAATGGTGGCTGATAAATTTAGAAGGTAATTTCGTATATTGCATGCTTTAGTATACAAAGATACTGTCACATTACAATAAGCCCAGGTGAAAAAGTTAAAAGGGCAAAATCATGTATTTGTTTAAATCATTAAACAAAAGGATACTTTCGACAGCATACAACAATGTCAAAAATTACAAGACAGCTCAATGTTGGGTTTTCTTCTTAAATCTTCTTTGAGCTTTTAGGTCCACTACGATGACAGTGATATTGTCTTTGCTTCCTTTGCTAAGAGCAAGCCTTGAGAGGTACTCTGCTGCAGCTTGAGCTGCAGGGTCAACTCCCTCACCCCTTCCTGCACGCAATTTATCACCATGCTTTTTATGCCAAAGAAGGATTTGTTTTCGTGCAACTTGGCAAGCTTCCTCGTTGGTAATGACATCCCATAAGCCATCACTGGCTAAGATAAGACACTCATCTTGTTTTGCTCGAGGAACAAACATAACTTCTGGATCTGGAATAATCCATGGTTTTAAGTATCTGTCACCTGAGGAGGATGATAAGAGATGATAATCAAATGATATAGAATTATAAATCAAAATGTTTTAACTACAGCAATGCTAATATATACCTTGACATGGCAAGAACACCAAAAACACGAGATCCATTCCATTGTATGACCTTGCCTCCTGCAGCTTCTATCCTTGCATGTTCATCTTCTCTATCAGGCTGTAAAAGAGGTAATATGATCATCAATGTCTCTGAAATTAGTAAAAAAAAAAACTAAAAATAGGAGAACATGTCTTACTTTGTGGTCTACAGACAATGGCATGGGAAGTTTTCCACGGTAGAGAAGTGCCCTTGAATCGCCACAATTGGCAACAATTATTTGTGTTGAACTAACAATTGCAACTAAAGCAGTAGAACCAACAGTTTCAGGGGCAAAATGTTCACGATCAGTCTTGGTCCCATCAGTGCCTCTATCAACTTCTGCGATCTAAGCATCGACTTTGCCGAAAGAATTGGCGAATGCCTTCTTCCATTGTTCCTGCCAGTCGTGCCCAATATTTCCATCATGAATACATGCTTTTGCAATTTCTATCTCCTCGGCCAAAGCCAAATGCATACGTTCCTGGCAGTAGTTTGCAATCTATGGGAAGAAATAATCTTGATTATATAAACATACTTGGAAAATAAAAAGATAGAAACTAGGAGAAATAGAGGAGGAGGCCATGAAGTTTACCTGACAGCCTCCATATCCATCGTACACACCATAGAAATGAGCAGTTAATTAGCTTAGACTGTGATTCATTCCCTTTGTTATGCTCTCAACTTTCATCATTTGAGTAGGAATTTGCAAAAATCGAGGTATAGCCACAACAGAATCTTCCATCTCTGGTCTCTTACCACAAATGGATGTAAATCCCCAAAGGGGTATGTAATTTAATTCGAAGAGACACTGGCTTTCAGTTTTTCTTATCTTCTTTTGCTGTGGCACCTCAAGAAATGACTCGGTTGATTTTGGATCAGACTCATCAGACCTATTGCCATCATCCCCAGCAAGATCCACTGCTACCCTCTTGACATCTTGAACATCATTAGTATTTCTTTCCTCGACCAGAGTTGTTGATGAATTTCTCTCAGAATTAACCTCTAAAGCTGAAACTTCCTCAACAGATACGCTGCTGACATCACTAGCTACAGATTGAGAACATGAATATTCATGATCGCCGCTGAATGATATGGATCCATCTTTTTGACTTCCCTGATGATTGTATTCTCTAGAAATACAACTATCCTCAGTTTCAATTTCATTTGACAAAATGGCTCCGTCATCTCCCCTGCTACCTTCACGTGGAGATAATGGTGCTGTATTTTCTCTGTATGAACAAGCACCTAAGTTTCCACCAGGAATGAACTGGCAAGGTTGATTCGACTTGTTTTCCGAGGGTGACAACAAACCTGCCTTCTCTGCAATTAGCTTACACCCAGTAATGTCCATTTGTATCATCGTTCTCGAATCATTACATATCACGTCACCTAGCCTGACGGCACACGGACCAGCAATTGCTTTAGATATCTCCTCCATGATTCTCTTTTACCTGCAATAATTAGCTCAAACCTCTGAACCTTTCAAAATCGTGCAAGCTATTACTCTTCAAACTATTCAGTCTGGTATAAAGGGATAAATCGTTTGCAATCCAGAAAATGAAATTTCCTACCAAGCCTTATTGCACAAATTTCAGGAAGCCAGACAGTAAGAAGTACTGAAAATTGTCAACGAAAGAAAGCCAGGGTAGATGAAAGTCAAGCTTGTGGCAATCAAAAAACAGAGTAAAATTATAACCTACACTTGGATGCCTCTAGAGCCTATATACGACTTTCATATCTGGACTCTTCTTTGCCTAAAACGACCAAACAGAGCTAGAATAGATGAGAGAAAACCTTCAGTTTCTTCCTTTTAACCAACAACCCTTTTGAAGTTTGATCCGTAGGTAACGAGAAATATAAGAGAATCATACAAATGTTCCTACCCCTAATAAATTCAGTCAAGTAAAAGCACAAGGTGTCATGATAAAGTAACTCAAAATACTTATAGAAAAGACCAGAAAAACACTACCAAAATCTGGTTCCCTGGATCCGAGGCAACTCATTTCAACCTCATGAATCTAGGCGTTTCTCTTTCTCTGAGTTTCTTTCAGCCGTCCACTAAGCCACCCTTCAACCAACCACAGTTAAAAAGGCAAAGCTGAGTCACCAACTAATCTTTCTGTGCTGTTCCAGCTCCAGAAATCTCTGTATAAAACTTGTAAAAAAAGCATTTGAGGAATACTCATATAGAAACTATTTATACAACTTTTTCCTTAAAAGAACACGTTAAAGAATTGTAGAACAAGTGAAACAAGAACAAAGTGCGAAGTAACAGAGTTGCTTACAACTTTGAAACACCACAATGATCAGAGCGGAGGCCAAAAACAGCAAAAAGGAACAGAAAATGGTAGTTGCCAGAAATAGAGAAAAACATAATGCAGCATCACACGTGTCGTTTTGGACAAAGGAACATATGAATGTTAGAGAAGCGAATTAAACTAAACCAAAAATCTGCGTACGTAAGCTCATGACAAAAATTAAAAAAAGAAAGAAAGTTGCAACATCCCATGACAGAAGAATTATTTGGATTATTATTATTATCTTTGTAAGAAAGAAAAGGCCTCAAGTAATTGTGCTGTAGCTTTTGAATATTTGGGGTTTTAAAAGGGAAAAATATGTCAAAGTGAATAAGTGAGTCCAAGGCAGGATTTGCCACGTATCTGGAAATCAGGTTGGTTACCAAAGAGAGTGACGTGCAAAAGTTCATGTTTAGTTTTAGAATTTACAAATTTTAGAATATTTAAGGGAGAGAGAAATGGGGAGACGAAGGTGGGTTGGGTCGGTTCATGAACTGACAATCTTTAACTTTCTTTTTAGATTGGATTCTTTTGTAAAGCAATAGATTTCTTGCCACCCCATCTTACTTTTCGCCGCGTGTAATTTATTTTATCTTCATTTTTGGCATTAGTTGTTAGGATTTATTGGTTTTATTTTTTTCTATTTTGTCTATTATCATTAATTCCGATATTAGACTCGTGAGCTTTTTATATAATTGAAGATGTCTTGATTTAAATTTTAATATTTTATCAATAAATTATAAGACAGTTAGATAAACTTTAGAATGGATAACGAATTCTAAATCAATTAAATTTTGGTAAAATAGAAGAACATGAATCGATCCTACTGATTTTAAATTAAATTTTTGATTGGATTAGTTTTAAAATTTTTCCTTTACTAACAATTTCAACAGGGATATATAAAATAGCCTATACAGGCCAGGAGGCCGAATGTTGTTGCCTGAACTGAAACTTCTCTGCATGAGATAGTGTTTTTCCCTGGATGTGTCGAACAAAAATTTCTTCCGGAAGCAGATTTTCCCTGCAAAATGTAAACTAGGAATCTAAAAGCCCTGACCTAAAGCAGCCACATGCTTTACAAGTTTACCCTAAACGGCATTGATAAACAGGTTCTCAAATTTATTGCTATGATGCTTTTTTCAGGATGATGTTGCTTCGTTGGCCTTCTCAAAGGTCCATCCAAAATTTATCTAACCATCGGGGGAAAATTTTATGCTAACAGAAAGCAAAAAGGAGGGTAGTCTCTGAATTGTATACTATGATGAACAGAGAAAACAGACCAACCTCAACAATTTCATTCTTTTTGTTTTGCAACTTGATTCTTGAACATAACATACAGGAATAATTTCACGAAACAAAACAAAATTCATTATATTCAAAAAGTTATCCCTAAACTGAAAAGTGTTGCAAAGCTGGGGGTCAAATCGAATTTCTCAACAAATCTCAGATGTTTACTCCACAATCATTTGGCCCCCAGCAGAAAACCAGCAGGCAGCTTGAGACAGCGTAAATAATTAAAACACAAACCTATGAGACGGTCCCAAAATTTTGACATGAAGTGAAGCACGAAAGGACATTCCAAACGTTATAATGCATTAAAAGCTATAATATGAAAACATTGATGAAGGATGAAGTAATTAGGATACTCGTCTTGAGTTCCAACCTGAAGGTCTTGGCTAGGATAATAATAGAAATTAATTCTCAATACGAATGGGACAAGATTCTTGACAGGCTTATCCCATATATCAAACTTTTTATATAAAGCAAGTTCAGAAACATGAACACTAAATCAAATGTAAGCTTTAAACTGCAGTGGATGAACATTACAGAACATGTGCCTTGATCGCCAAGCCTTCAACATTGTTCTAGAAGTGATGCCTTGGCTTTCAAAAGAAAAAAAGAAAAGAAGATAGATATTTTCTCTTGTAAAATAATTGTAAACAATGTAAAATGCATGGAAAAGTTTACAGCCAAGACTAGAACAAGGCATTCTGGATTTACCTTAGTGGTAATGCAGGTTTAGCAGAATGTGGCGGATGGCATTCTAGCATTCAATCCCAGGTATATGTATCTTGATCAGGAAATCCAAGAGACCAATTTTATCTGCAAACATTTTAGACTTCTACAAGGAGAGAGAGAGAGCAAAGCAAAGCAAAATTAATTACAAATACCGACTTAAAGCATAATCTAGTATCAGTAGGGCAGTAAGAAGTCAGCACCCTAGAAACACAGCAAAAAGAAGCTCGAATTTGAAACAACAATATGAGGTTAATAAATGCAATTGATAAAGATCTTACCATAATTCCTGAGATTATTGAAGTGAGAACCTGCAACTTCAAGTAATAAAGCAGGAAAGATGCAGAGCTAATAATCCCCATTAAGTACCCAAATCATCTTTTTCTGAGTGAAAAACACAGCCAATTATAGTATTGACATCTTCATTGAACATTCTTACCTCATAGCCTAAAAGGAAACATCTTCATGTACAAACCTAAGGAGAAATTATTAAATCTGATATAACAACTTTGAACTGCAGTTGCAGCTGGAAAAGTGAAAATAAAGACCCATAAACCAGAAAACGAGGAAAGAAAACCGATTATGTTTACAAGTTATAATAATACTGAACAAAAAAACTAATTTTATTGGGAATATAAATGCATGTACAAGAAGAGCATTGCTCTCTGATTTGTAAAAGCTACAGCCAGGATACAGTGTTTGCTAAGATATAATTGCTAAGACATACTAACTTGTAGGAGCAAAAGATCTTTACAGTCGAAGTCACCAACTTAAGAGAAAAATTCAAGATGTCCAAATGGTTCACTGGAAAATCAACTTGTGGAGGAGTCTACAAAGAATCTATGTTACCTAGTTGAGGACCGGACAGCCAAACAACTATCCAAGTAACGGTCATTTCTTCATGACAGTGATTATGTTTTTGTTTGTCAACAGTATAATTAACAAGACTATACAAAGAAAGCAACTCAAACCGTCATATTCAAGTCTGAAAGATCGTCCATAGGAATTTCAAGGCCCATGAAGTCATGATCTTGTAATCCATCATCATCAATGTTCAACCATGAACCCAGATCTTGTCCTGGTAGCTGCAAGTCATCCAATACATCCAGGCTAAAGTCATCTTTTTCTTTGACATTATTATTGGCACTTATCTCACTTGACGTTGATTTAGAAGCTGATGGTTTGGATTGCTCTGATATCTTGCCAACAAGGCCATTCACAGAAACAGATAGTTGAGTTGTTTTCTGCTTAGGTTTTGCTTTTGATTTCCTTTCCCCCTTAACATTGGATACCGGTCGACCAATCTTATTAGTTCCATTTCTAGATAAAACCTCTCTACCATGTCCCTTTCCTTCTCTGTCTCTCTCACTCCTCTTTCCTTTTGTACTGCTTGACAAAGAACTTCCAATGCCTGACTGGGCAATAGAAGTACCAATACTACCACCAACTACATCCTCCAGTAATAATTCTCTCTTTTTCACCCTGTTAGACCATGAGTCATCTTTAACAGTAGTTTGGTCAGAAAACCGATTTGTGGGTGGAAGCAGATCAGAAGAATTAACAGTATAGCTATCCCCATTTTGACCTGCCAGAGTAGTTGTGTGTGAGAAACCATGAAAGCTGCATAAAAGACCAAAGTGACAATCCACTACTGAATTGCACCATAAGACAGATAAAAGGACAAAGAAGAAAGAGAAGACAGTTCTGCCGACTGCAAAAATGTACCATGAAGAACTTTTTGCAGATGATTACATTAAATGGGATCAAACACATGCATGCAGACACAACTACATGTGGGAATTAAAGCGTGTGCTTTCTCCATAGGCATCAAGTAAATACCTGAAGTTCTAACTTCCAGAGAACGGGTGGAGCTGTTGGCACATGGCTTCCCAGATTCACCATCTGTAGGAGTGTCTAATGATCGTGCACCATTTAGTCGGGAAGACCCAGAAAGAAAAATGTCTCTAAGCATTGGCTCATTGAAGCAGCTCTTGCCTGCATCTTCCAATTTATGATACCGATCTAATGTCCGTTTAACAAATGTTAAGGCAGCCTGCTTGATCATTTTGTTACTGGTACTCTTCCCACCAGTAGTATTAGGACCCCAACAAGTCTATTAAAAGATTATTAATAAATCATCAAAAATAGAATACCAGCATCATATCATAATATGTCAGCATCTAGCATGATAACTAGGGCAAATAAACAGTCCAACTTTTAGATATTTAAAAATTCTAATGGAAAATGAAAAGCTGTAACACAAACAGAGATAACCAATCAGATTTATTCACCTTGGCAGGAAGCTCCGGAGGGCAGAAAAACTGGAAGCAAACTCAAATTTCGAGAAAATATCCCATTTATAATATAAATTTTGCAACAAAAGCCCTAGCTACCATTCAGTTCTTAGCGTTTTAAATATTTTTGTCATCTATGCAGCTAAAGAGAAAGAAAACAGCACAAGTGTTAGTAGATAAAGCTCTGCTGGCCAAATTCTCCAAAAGGCTTTAAAATGAATTTCCACTATCTGCTCAAAAGGTGACAAAATAATTGATTCTTGAGAATGTCAAAGAGAAAACCAAAGCATATATACCAGGAAGCGATAGGACAGAGTAACCCGTCTCAGATTAGATAACATTCAACCACATGACACTCATGTTTGAAACAGATTCCAAATATAAGATCAAGGAGAACTAGAAAAGCATCATCCACTTGATCTTAGATAGCAACGAAAAGAATTTTCTGGACCTATGTTGGGATGATGGGATGGTTTTTTTTATATCTTTGGGCCAGTTGGTTAAGGTTAACAATATTGCCATCCTGCGCATTTGCATCTATTTTTTCTATTTCCTTTCTTTCTTTGTTAGTTTTAGTCCACCCAGACAACAATTTCCTTGAAATCCTTAGACTTTTCTTCTAGACCAGAGCTTAGTTTCTACATTCTCATTTTAAAAGGCTTTCCTACGACTTGGTTCTTGGCACCAAAGACATTAAACAGTGTGCATATGGGTGTGCAAATGGAAACCAAAACAAAAGGAGACTGAATGTTAAGAGAATTACCATGTACTTTTCATAAGCAATCGTGACAAGTTTGTCAAGAGCACGTTGTTTGAATTCCCTATATAAAAAATGATATGTTTATATATACAAAGGAAAATGCATACAAATCTATACAAAGAGAAAGGATAAAACAATACTTCTCCTGAATTGTTCTTGTTTCTGAGGCAGCTTTCAACAGTTTATCAAGCAAGCCTTTCTTCCTTGAAACCTATTGCATTCACAACAAAATTACAAAATGAACTTTTCAGAACATGTTTTGAACTTTATGATGGAAAATCCAACAATAAGTAAAGTAGCAGGGCATAGAAGAAAGATAGAATTTGTTGAATATCTAATAGTAGTTATCATAAAACTGAAGCGTAAAAACAATACTGTGAAGGAGAAAGAAAAAGAAAATATCAGATTGCATATTACAGCTTCAATATTCCATTGAGAAAATACCTGTTCATTGTGCTTCTCCTCTAGCTTACTAATATCCTCACGGATTTCATCATCCTCCATCTGTGCTATGTCAGGCTGAAAAACAGCGAAGCACTTAAAGTTAATACATTAAGAACCTTAATGTCAAGGATGAAACAGAACAACCAGACAGACAGAAGCATCTATAGTAAACCACTGCAGAGTCAGAAAATATATCGCCCTTCAAGATAATGAGAAGCAGCAGAGGACACACATGCACTATTTG